AACACGCCTCCTTCGACGTCGATCAAGTGCACTGTGCATAACTAAATGGAACGTAACGCGTCACGATCCCCTCGCAAATGCAACGTGCGCGTATATTTTATGTACCCTTTCTGATTATGCAAATTTTAACCTTAGGTGTGTGCGCTGAACGCGCACTGAGCTGTGCGCGCTTTCAGAAATCGTGCGATCGCCGCGTCGCGTGAATGAGTTGGCCGTTCGTTTCGCCGCCGACAGACAGTACCCATTGTGTCGAATGATATTTTCGTCACTACATGACTAATAATTAGGTCATTCGTAAGCCGTAAGACCGTAATTCGCCGTAACGTAAAATAGAATAGAAAATTTATGAAGACTTGCGAGACTCATGCGAGTCTTTCTCAGACGCGTAAGATTTCTGAGGCTGACTTTTGTGCGGAATTTTTATACCGTAAGACCTCTAGATTAGAAGAACGGATAGAATTGAAAAAGATGTATGTAGGAACGTATGTAGGAATTATTCCTTCAGAATGAACGTCGCCCTCGAGTTTGCAACCCTCGCGGCATCGCGCAACACAACCGTCGTGAAACGGCGCAAGTGCCGTCGATCGGCGATAAGGATTCCGGAGGCGACTGCCCGATAACCCGTTTCAGACTTTCAGAGAGATTGTACGCGGCGCGTTCTCCACGCAACTCGTTTTCGACGTTTCCGAGAGCGCGGAACTGGTAACAGCGGGCCGACGCGTGATGTAACGACGCAACGACGACGTGAAAAAGTCCCGCCGACAGAGAGGTCCCGCTCTTCGAGCGTACGCGACGCGTCGCGTCGGTTCCGTTGGTTCCGCGGGAACGTCGCGCCGTTACTTCGCGCCAGATCATGTGATCGTCGGCAAATAATTACTCAGTTGGAAGCCGCGAGGACGATCGACACGTTATTGCAAGCCATATGCGAGAAAATTGTTAAAGGGTGACGTCGCGACGTGCCCACACACGCGTGTGTTACGCAAAATCGCCGCACACTCCGCCTTGGCACGGTTTGCATCTCGCCGCGCCGCCCGGCGCGGAATTGCGACAGCATCGAGGATTTGCGTATCTTCAATGAATCATCAATTAGTCGTGACTTTGACCGACCGTTCGATGCGCCCGTGATCATGAAATTGATTCACATCTTTTCTTTTCTTTTCTTCTGAGAAAATTAATTGTTCAAAGCTTTAGGCATTCTTTAAAAAGGAAGGAAAGAGTAAAAATGATAATCTGCTTTCTTTGAATAGTGATAAACGACAAGCAATATCCGACAATTAAGAAGCAAATTACATTTTAAGTCAATGAAAAATAATGTATACATAAACGAAGTCGATAATGTCGAATAATTTTTGCTTTTAATTATATAACATTTAGTTCATTAGTACATATAAATAACGATCCTTGCAGATTCTTTTTTTGTTGAATAAGTATAAAATACCCATTCTATAAAATATTCTTCATTAAATGATGAATATTATTATTGTTAAATATTCCCCGTTAATCAATCTACATTATTAGCTCGTTGCATTTATTAAAAAATAGATTTTAATTAAAAGAGTTAGACGTATGTTTTATAAAATTTCATAAAGAGCAATGTAGCGATTTTATAATTAATACAAAATAGATATAATTTATTACATGAGATAAATTAATTACTCGCGTATGTTCGCTACTCAACACGCGATCTAGCCTGACGCGTTCTCGTCCTTACCCGCTTCGTTTTTCCGGGCGATGGGCTCATGCGGGGTCGCCTGTCCAATCTCCTCGATCAACGGACAGGCAAAACAAACGCGTCCTTCTTCTTGAAACCGCTTCCGATCTTGCGCAATTTCTTGGTACCAGTTGGCAGGACGTCGATGGTTCACGCGCACGAATGCAAATACACTCTCGAAACAGATTGAAACAGATCGGTCTCGAATTTTCGTTCAAAGAGATTGGGCAAGTCTGGGCAAACCTTTCCAATATTTTCGCCTTTGCGATAGAGACTGATACTCGCGTGGGCGTCTTTTCTTGTCTGAAAAATTCGAACGCATTGCCGAGCAAGCGCGCGCGTCTCGGCGAGTACTCGCGGTTTCGGATACAGATCGTAATTGCACGCACAGTTTCAATTACTTTGATGCTTTGACTATGCAATTCGCGTGCAGACGTCCACGCACGTGGGTCCGTATGTGTACAATCTTGTACGCGATAATGTTAGGCACTTCTTCCTCGCGACTCTTCGCGACTCCTCGCATACCGAGAGCCGACGACGAGGTGGACGAGCAACCGGATAAGCGGACACTCAGGAGAGCCGCCGCTCAGAATTCTCTCTCGTTCGCCAGCCGGCGAACTTGCGGCTCGCGGCGCGTGGAACGGAGCGGAGGCGTTCCTCTGGACCTCCGATGGTGATTTTTCCTCGCCGACACGTCGAGCCCCCTCCTTGCGTTATCCGCGCTTAAACGAAAGTGCGGATTGAGAGTTTGATCGCGCGTCCCGGGAGCACGTGCCTGCCTTGTCGCGCGAAAAACGGTCCCGTCGCTCTCACCCTGTTCGCTGTACGCGAGAAGAGAAGAGGAAAAACAAAATTCGCGAAGAAATCTCGACGAATCTCGGCCACCTGCACTTGGATCCGTAATGTGTAGTCTTGTACGCGATAATGTCGGATACTTCCTGGTGGCAAGCATTCCGGTTTGCGGGGACCGCGATCTCGTCGTAATAATGTTTCGTTCCTGGCGCCTGGCTCTCTCGAAATAGCGCGCGAGTCGGATTAACTAGTTTTGCGCCTACATGCTGAGCGATTTAATGAACAAACCTGAATTAAAACGATATTAAAACTGCATAATTAGTCTAAGTAGTGTCTGGGGAAGGGACCAGGGGCCCGACTTCCCCTTCTTTCAAGTAGCTCAGGACCAAGAATGAAATGTACTATCGTATCCCGATATACAAAATATTTTATAAGTTCACGCGAGATATTTTATTTATTAATTTGCTATCAGATAAGAATCGAAGGGATTACCTTCTTATTTTTTATCTTAATTATCGAGTGTATAATTTGTAATTGTATAATTTTTAATTTATGCGTCGACAATCGCTATGAGTCTCTTCACAATTTTTTTTTCGTAAGTTGATGAAAATTCATAGCTTTCTGATTAGCTAATCAAAAAGAATACTTGGTACATTATAAAGCATATGCTATCAAATGCGCGAAAGCAATTTACCTTAACATAGCAAGAATGAATATTCGCTTTTGACGTCATAATCCCTGTAAATACCTATGCAGTGGCAAGCCCGTGGTGCTTATCCGACGATTTGCTAGGAACGAAACCCATATTGCAGGGACATAACGTAATAGATATATATGCAAATTGATTAATAATTTATTGCTGATAATTTATCTCCGATACCTGATATTTACACACAATGAAGTAAGACCGGTATATTTACCGGTTGTTAGAATCACGAAACCCAACTCGAGAAAGTCAAAGTAGGCGCATTAATAACGTGTTTTTTTTTACGGGGGTGTACATGCAAGAAATGAACGAGTCAACGCAATATTTTTTTCAGTAATAAAAATTCATAATTTCCTCTTCAATTTTCGATAAACGTCACCTAATACATTTGTCCTTTTTTTGTACCATATCATATGTTTAACATATCCACGGAGTAGGGCGTGCGCGTCCTTCCTCATTACGCTCGCACGCGGAGAGAATAGTGCGGCAGTAGCGGCAATGTGTGTCGCGTTACACAAGAATCGTCGTCACGAATAGACGAACATTTCGATATATAATTCGTTCGATTGCGTGTATTACTGCGCGCGAACAGCACTCGTAACATCGACTTTAATTAGCAGCCATGACGATATTACTTTCGCGCGTAAACGCTCTACCTATCGACGATGCTACGTTCTCACTTGACGCTAGAACACCACATTTGGGATCCGGTGAAAAAATATCTACTTGTCGAAAATATATCCAGGGAAGTATAATCCTTCAAAGGATACGCTATAATGACTGTTTCGCGAGTTTCTTGGCCGGTGAAATTTTCGGAACATTTCGTGCCAAAAAAATCAATACTTCACCGCCGACTATAACAAATCTTCTACTATATCTTCTTTTACCCATTGTACTTTTTTCTATATTATGTCTTACATCTTTCGGTAAAACATCGCAAATTTCCTTAATCTTAAATGAAAGAAAATTCCGACAGGCAATCGAATTCGCATTTCGTAGATCCTGGATATGGTGTTCGAGGTCGGCTTTTGAAATGCAGTGCTTAAAACGCAATTACAACACATCTCAACGATGAAATCGCACGTGCTCATAAATCTTGATTTTTTTTCCATTGATCTCTTAACCAAATCGTGAAATTTTAGAAAAAGTTTTACTCCAAAAATGTCAAAAATCTATGTTTCACTGTACGTAACACTTTATACAGACATGCATTCCAAGTATAAAAAAGACGTCCTTTCAGCCACTGATGTGGTCTAATATGCATAATGGTATAAGTTAAGAAAACGCCCTTGTACAGTCGTTTCAGTTCTCTTCGACGAGTGTCTATCTTATATCTCGGGAAATAAAAGATTTCGGAGTAAGATTCTCTCTAAGATTACCGATTCAATTCGCGCTCAATTGTCAGTATAGGAATATCGATACAGAATATTATTGCGCTTAATAATATTTAACAATACCGATATTCAAATGGTAAATACATATCCACCCGGTTGCACATCGCCACAATATTTCTCTGCGTGTGAGCGCGCAGACACACGCGTCGCACACATGCTATACATCCAACGCACGTAAAGTTCGTTCCGCCTACATACTGAATGTGCGCGTGCAAAATGTCACGCGAGCACGCGCGCGTGTCGACGCTATTTATATAATCTAATAATATATAGTGTAACTCTCTGCGCGCGGCGTGCGTGCACGCGTGTGTACACGCGACTTTCATATGGCCGTATGTGCGTACACATATATATGCCACAGTCGCATTTGATTGAGACCACAAAAACGTACGCACAGCTTCTTCTTCTTTTTCTTCTTCTTCTTCTGTCCCACACGATTGTAAAACAAAACGTAAGTAACGTGCGTTCACGTAAATTGTATTACAGTAATATTGTAATCGTGATAGGTGGTAATAATTAGCAATAGCAGAGCAGCGGTGGCGGAATAGTGTAATAGCACTGTTGGTTTTCATTATTGATATAACAACAATTCCTCTTCTTCTTTTTCATTTTTCTTTACCAACGACCGCACCCGATAGTAATCGATCGTAAACGTTACGACGTCCTACTATATACAATGTACGCGGTGTAACGCGTGCATTTGCCACTCAACACGATTTACAACAAGCTCTTCGATTTACACATGTGTACATATAGATTTACACATGTAATAATGCATATATATACGCATATACATTTGTTACATGTATGTCTATGTAGGCGTATATTCTCTCACGCGAACGCTAATTACATCGATCCAATATGTAACTCCCATACACGCACACATACGAGAAACGCTCGCAAATCGCTTGCGCTTGGTTGTCGCGCGAGACACGTCGGCCCGAAATTAGTTTTGCATTGCTTAACGTGCTTCTTAAGTGCTATCCTGCGCGATACAGTCAGTTTCATCGACTAAACGCTTATAAATCCACTTACACGTACTAGTTGTAGCAGAGCCGCGTCTTTACACATCAATAAGAATTCTCTGTTTCGGATAATCAATATATTAATTGTCTATCTAACAATGCGTTAATTATCCCTTGAAGAATACATTAATTGCGCAAGGTCCCACAGTGAGACTCAAGCGTGCAGAAAACCCATAATTTTGAAATTATGAGCTTTATTTTTAGCTTAAATTCTAGAGTTCGTTATACATATACATTTATACATATTTATATATAAATGTATATGTATAACGAACTCTCTATAAATTATTTACAGTTCATCCTGCGCAACAGCGATACATTTGTTGCGTGTAAGTTAATAATTCACATTCTTTCTTTCGCTTACACATATATGTGTATATATATTTATATTTATGTAATATATATATACATTTGTCGCAAGTATGCAAGAAAATATTTCTCTGAATTATGAATATAATTCAAGTTGTATCTTTGGATGCGGCCAAAAATAGATTTAACTAACACGATAGGTCATTGGTGGGATCTTCTCGATCAAGGATGGTCAATCGTACGTTGATCAGAAAAAACATCGTCGTTGTTTCGTACACGAGTTAATTTTCGCGAAATATGTTACAATTAATAAAGTAGAGTGCCTATATAAGTAGATTATTAATATTCATTTATACATCGTTATACGTCATGATTAAAACAAACGCCCAATCAGCGATACCTTGACCGATCCTTGTATGCTTGCATACCATATAACTGCCGAATTATACAGTATTGTATTCCTACAATGCTGATTAATAATTTATATAAGATTACTCGATATGCACGTGCAAGAGCATTTTTTAAATTTAACATTTTTTTCTTTATATATACTGCTTGATCGATACTGATTAGGTTAATAAAACGTTCTATCTATTATTCACTATTACATATAGGCAACTAACAATAAGTATCTGTACCTGATGGTATTTTCGCGCGTATATATCGTTTATATGATTAAAAAAAACAAAATAAAATATGACAAAACATATAGTACAAGTCTAACTGTAAGTACGATAAAAATTCCATCAGGTATGCCACTAATTTGTGCTTTATCGATTAAGTGTGTAACAAAGAAGTACCTTTTTTTAAGACTTCAAAAGTAGCAGCCCTATCACAGTGTGGCTCGGAGTGAAGGCGATTTTCATAATCTGTTTAAAAAAGATGAGAAAGTACTTATAAAACAGACTCTATTTGCTTGATCTCCTTCTCGGGTGGCTCTAGGGGTGACGGCGCGGTTTCTACTATCTCTGGTATATCCTCCTCGTTCTCTTCCTCAATATCTTCGTCAATTGGAGTCAATGTATCTAATATCACAGGTTGAGTCTGCAAGAAATAAGACAGTTCGGTAATTATCATATAAATTAGTGAAAAATACCATGTTATTAAAAATTTAGCGATGCATGCAACTAACGTCAAATGCAAAAGCCGCGGTACACAATTAAATAACATCGAACAAAAGATTGATATAAGTTATAATTTTACCTGCGGTGTGGTACACCGTTTCATAGCAGGGGCCATGAAACTAGTAATAGTGCTTACAAGGAAGAAGAACCCTGCCATGAAGAACGGAATACTATAACTTTGCGTCGCGTCATAAACAGCGCCCGCTAAGGGTGAGCCAACTATAGCGGCAGCCCCTCTGAATAGAATTAAAAGGCCGAAAGCGTTCGTTAACTTGTCTAATCCCAAGAGATCCACCAAGATGATTGATGTTAATGAGATATATCCAGCTAAAATCGAAATCATAAAATATTCAAAATATTCAAAATATCCAAAATAAAATAAATATATAAATAAATATTTCCATACTTGACAATTACTAGCTAAAATAATGGACGTTTAACAAAATTGCGTTAAGATACTTACATATTGCTATCCCAAAAAATATGCTCATGACGATATAAGCGACATAAGTATGGCAAAACGGCGTAGCAGCTACTGCGAGTGTAGATATAATTAAGCAAATATTGTTCAACAATAAGGAATCAACTTGCGGAAAATCGGCAACATATCCACAAGCCACACGACCTATAGTGTTCGTTATTCCAATAATAGATAATAAGAACGATGCAGAATTGCTTTCAATTCCCTTAAAAAAAAAAAGAAATGACATCGTTAAATTATGATATCGTCTATAATCCAGCTGTATACTAAAAATTGATATATAACATACATCTAAGACCGCGGCATCCACCAGATATACAAAAGGAACATACAATCCAGCCATACCAAACACGTTGCTAATACCAATTAGGAGAAAAACAGGATCTTTCAATAAAGACATATCCATCATCGTCGCTAAAGCTTCCTTAAACGAATCGGGTAATACCAAGCAAGGACACAAGGGTTCTAAAAAATTAAAATCTATATTATTTTTCCTGAGCTTTAATAATATCGTTTAAATCATATGTATGAAAAAATGATATACGTACGTTGTTGCGCTTTTTCAATATCAATATCTTTCATGTCACCACGTACAGATTTGGGAATAGATACAACACTCTGACGATAATTGGCGAGGGATTTCTGGCTTTGGTATTCTGGTAAATTGACTACGCTACCACTGTAGAAAATATCCTTTCTCGACAAGGGACGGACCACCATTGGTTTCTCCTTTGGGACTATACTAGCTTTACTGGTAGTAAAGGTAATACTCTCACCATCCTAAAATAGATGTCGCGCACATATTTGTTATGAGATTATTCGAAAAACGTTTGTACATTTGATTTGTCCAGAAAAAACGGTATGAAGACATTTTCTAAGAAAAACATTTGCTTTAAAATGTTTGACTTACATCAGCCTCAGCATTGTTATTTCGCGATCCCAACATGCTGCTCGCGGAAAGTCTCAGATGCAAGCTCTTTCTTATATCTCCGTTAGAATTAAGCGTTGTCCTAGAATTCTTTATTGCACTAAGGCTAGGCTTGTAGCGTTCGCTGGTACTCGTTTTACGGATTCTGTCAAAGAATGGCACGGAGCCGTTTTTAGGCAAACCTTGAACGTGGGTCGTGAAAGCCGGCTGCGACGCGTTTCTGGGAATTATCGTCTTGTTAAACTCATTCTCAGGCTTCTCTGCGTCCTTTGTGTCTTTGGTTTCATCAACAGTTTTCTTGCTCTTGGACTTGTTGGAGATGTTCTTTAAATCCATGCTACCGCTATCGCTAGTATGTCCACTAGAAGAGTGCTCTTGTACCTTCACTTCAGATATGGTGGGAAGGGTTGGCACCGTCGGAACTGGTGTTAAAGGAGTTCCTTTAATATCACGGTATTCAATAAGGTGCAACATTATTGTTTCAATTACTTGGAAAGCGTATGCGCCCATGATTATGGAGACAATAGAAGTAATACAATTTGATTTTGAAACTTTTGCTCAATTAAGAAATGTTTCTCAATAATTCAAAGATTCTCTCAAACCAATTAAAATAATTTCACTTCGCTTCAAGAGATATCTAACAACGCAATTAAGACAAAAAGTATGATCAATTTAATTTTCCGATGTGTGTGTTTGCGACTTACTGCACTTTCACAATATCAACCATCACCATATCAAACTTGATCGTCAGAGTCCCTTACCAGGCACTAATTGGTCTAAATTGAAGCTGGAATGAACACCGGGATCAATATTAATGGGCATTTTCATTCTCTTTTCCATGGATCCATCCGGTAATTGTACCATAAAATAGGAGCCACCGATACTACCACGTTCCATTTGAAATCTCTTCTCCTCAGCCATTCTTTGCAATAATGGTTTAACCGAGGAAGTTTTTGGATATTCCAGAGGTCTCATCATGGCACCAAATACCTAAAAATCATCTATTAGAATTTTTTTATCAGATATTACGAGATGCCATCTCGATTAATCTAAAGCTTTGTGTTACCCCTGCATAATCAAAGCAGCGAAGAGCAGCGAGTAAATAATTTCACACTGTTTACTTACTGCGCAATTTAAGATGAGGCCAGCCAGGATTAGGTTTGCTCCCTTCCAGCTGTACTCCTCCAGTAACATGGTCGCAAGAGGCGCGAACGCGAACGTACCGAATCCCGATCCACATACAGCTATGCCGGTAGCTAGGGATCTCTTGGTTTCAAAGTAATAGCCTACACAAACTACTGCGGGTAGATATATCAAACCGAATCCAATCCCTAAAAGAACAACATTGTAGAAACGTGAAGAACGAAGAAGTTGGCAAAGTACAAAAAATGCTAATCGAAAATCGTTACGCACCTCCCATAATACCATAAGTCACCATAAGCATATTTACACTGCTCGAAAACGTCGAAAGTACAAATGCGGCGGCGCCTAAGAAACTTCCTGCCATACATACTGCTCTACAGCCATATTTATTCGTTAATGCACTGACAACGGGGCCTGCGACGAGGAAAAATTAACATATAATATATATAAGGATGAATAATGCGTCACCTAGAACTAGAAGTTATTTTAATGACTAGATTTAGTATGAATTTTATCAAAAGCCATTACAAAACAAAAAGTCACAATCTAATCTTTCATTAAGATAAAGCATATTTGAGAATTTCGATCAAAAGATAAGATTGTTCGTTTCGTATTTCGCTATTAAATTTTCTGACAGTATAAGTAAAATTTTTGCTAAGGAAAAATTGGTTTCTCCTACAAAGGATGTCCTTACGAAATACCCTTTTCCGACAACGGTAGCGGAACCTAGGCCCTAAAGTTCAGTTAGAGAAATTTTATATAGGCATTCACGTGCGTATCTTACCAGCGCTGAGGTACATTCCAGACAGCAACGATCCAACCCAGGCGGTCTTGCCCTTTCCTTCCCCAAAGTAGTTAACAAATTCTCCCAGAAAGACGCCGAACGTGTAGGCAATACCGTCCACTATCATGTTACACATAAACGATGCAAATACCACCACCCAACCATATCCACCGTCCGGAGGTGGTGGTATATCGTGGTACTCGCAGAGCGAACCTCCCTCATCATCCGGCGAAGCTTCATCGCCACCCGGTCCATCGGCTCCCGTTAATCTCGATTGTTCTTCTACTGAGTATTCGCTCTCCGTCTGAAAGTAAAACGCACAATGATAACCGATGCTATTCTTAACAGACGCGATATGCGTTAAAAAACGACGTACTTTACGCGTTGCGAAACAAGTGTAAAATCCCCTCTAAGAGATGTTTTATTCATTAGAAAGTATAATTCTTATATTGTGTAGAAGGGAACGTGAGAGATCTCTGACAGAAGAGATACTTGTAAGTTTAGATGTGTGTTATTCTCACCGTGTCATAACTTTAGCAATATGCATACATAGCTATTGCTAAAATGTGGCATAAAATTATCATGAATTACAGCATTTACGTTCTCTACTATCGCGACTCAAATTTTTTACGTTGCGACAATTTAGCGCGGATAATTACATGACAACATATACTCGAGCCGCGTATACATTTAATAGTTTCACAGAAAAACTAGCAAACGTATATAATTTAGAACTGTGTTGTATCTCGCGTGGTACGAACGTGTTGCATTCGCCTTGAATAAGACTTGCCGTTCACCTTGAATGCTCTAAGAAAAAGTGTTGATGCGTAAATAAGTACTCATTCTCTAATTCGCTGACTTAAAATGTACAGTCGATTAAACATCTCTTGTATAAATCACGGGCAAATACAATCGTACCGATATATTGAAAAAAGTTCTAACATTATTAATAAATATCTTAAAGAGTCTTTGAAATCAGAGTATCTTAAATTTAATAATAAATTTGTGCCTTTTTCCAACGTGTGTCAAAAATTTATTTCTTATAGGCAAAAAACTTGACACGTTAATGTAATTTGTTTCAAAAAGATAATTATAAGTTAGTTACGTGTTTCTAATTTCCAATTATCTTTATAATTGTCTGCAAATGATTGTTTTTTATCTTCCAAAGAAAGTTATAAAGACAATTTTAAAAGACGCGCTTATTCATAATTTTTGAATTTTGTACTCTCTTTCGCCGTAGAAACACATTTCGCGATACGCGCGAAAAAAATACCCGTCGAGAGCACCAGAAACAAGTTGGATTTTCACACGAGAGAAGGGGAAATCGGAGAACTCGCGTATGCAAAACCGTACGCCATGGCTCGGCGATTTCGTTAATCGCGAGTCCTGAAATTATCGCGGGGCGTAACGCGAGAGCGGAGCGCGTACCGCGCAACGCGTCGGGATGATCTCATAACGCAAACGCCAGCACAGATATTAAATAGCTAACTGTGACTTAATCAGCCTCTAAGGCTACATCTGGCCAAGGTGATATACGTCGTACGCGTAGAATGCAACGCCAAGATCGAATCGATAAAAGGAACGGTTGTTCGCGATCCAAGCCGCGTTTCACGGAGATGCAATTAGGTTCGCCGGTGTATGATTAACGCGCGATTCGTTACACGAGTAACACGATACTTGAAAATTATACACACGACGGATTTTCCTTCAATTTATTTCTCCGCGTATAATTGGCATGCGTAATCTTACGACGTGTAAAACAATTTTCTGCGTTTAAAATTCTATTCGAAAGTGATAAATATTTCAAGGTTTCGTACATTTAAAAAAACAAAGGAGAAAGGGCTGACTGAACCGAGGCTAAATGTTCGTGCCAATGATATGATACATTACAGATTTAACAAATAAAATAAAATAATATAAACAAACGAAATAACACAAACATTTCGACTTGAAATAAGGTCATCTTTATGTGAATGTCAGAAATGATGAATACAAAAATAAATAGTTATATAATAAAATCAAACAATATAACATTTATTAAATCTGTATATTATTGGTACGAGCAACCTCGGTTCGTTCAGCCCTTTCTCCTTCTATTCAACAGGTTTTTGGGAGTAGAGATTGTCGATTTGAAGCTGTTAGCCGTCCACGAAAGATACTGATTTATACGGTTTATATTACTTTCATTAATATTACGTTCATTTAATATTATTCCCAATTAGTTAACACTGCCGAATAATGCATCGGGGTGTTTAATCCGGTGACTGCACGCGATCGTGTTGGGCTTCAACGAAAAAAAACAGCTTATTAATACCGCGGTATTAATACCGTGACAATCGAGAAGGGGAAATATCGAGCTGTGCCCACGCGATGCGACTAATCAATGACGTTTTAACGCTCGCAGGTGTTCCTAGGATAATTACACGAGATTGAGCCGCGAGAATCAATGAAAACAAAACGCTCGAATGTTATTAATTACTTCAGCAATCAGGAGGAGATAAGCGGGAGTTGGTTAATCGTTAGTAAGCGACTGACATTAGCCGAATTATTTATCCGCTCGTAATTCTGTGCCTCATGGCGAGATAAGAACGACAGAGTATTGTTTTATATAATTATATTATATAATTATGTATAAAAAAATTGCTATATAAATATAATTAGATTATATAGAACATATTATATTATATTTTATATAGAACATAATATATTATAATTTTTCAATTGCAGTCTCGGTGTTTCGTATAATTTCAGTCAGTCTCGTAATTTCAATTGCATTCTCGTCCGTCGTCAATTAAAGTCTGTTCGCGGAGCGCTTTATTGTTAGCTCGGAGAACCGTGCAAAATTTTAATTTCTTCTTTCGAGATCATTGTCGCGGCCTCGTTCTCCGCGCCTCTTTACATCTCGCCGCGGAGGTGATTACGGAGCGGTCCCCCAACGCTAATGAATTTGGATCAACGACCTCGTCTGTCGCGGCCGCGAAGACGAATTTAAATGCGGCGCGCGCGCGCGCGCGTGAGTGAGTTTGGGATTCGGCCGAAAGGAAGGCCACCAGCTGATCAGCTGATCGGTGCGCGGCCGCGCTGTCATTCCGATCGCGCCATCCGACGACGGCAGGCGCGAAGCTCCGCGCTCCGCTCTCCTTCTCTCTCCGCGAGGAATCCACGAGCTCCGGCCACGCGATTCGCTCGACCTTGCTGCTGCTCGCCCGTCGTTGTTAACACGCTTACGCTTACGCACTATCGTGATGGGAGGTAACGCGAAACGCGTGCGTGCGAGCGAATGCATCAGTGGCTCCCGCTCCCGCTCCCGCCACCGATCCGATCAACCGGCCCCGATTGTCAAGGCTGAGTCACGTGTCGCCTTCCCGACGTCGCGAGAGGAGAGCCGCGCGAAACCGTCGTGCCGGTGATTTAAGACGACACGTAAATGGCAAATCGCGCCCGTTCCGGCGCGGCCGAGAGGCTGCGCTGCAAATTACCAGCTCGTCCAGCCAGATATATTGCGCGGAAATCGATAACGTTCGGCAACACGGTTGGAGCGCGAAACGTGTATTGTGTGGGAAATGTTCTATGTCCTAACTCCGGGTACGCGATAGACCTGACATATTCCACGACGGGACTCCGTCTGTTCCTCATCTGTTTGGAGTAAAGTGAAAAAGCTAGTCAGTGAGGCGTCTTTAAAAGGATCCAACAGATGTGTTTTGCTAATCTTTCGGGTCTTTTAAACCTCGATCGCTTTGTTCAAGAATTCTGACCGTTGGTGTCTGACAATACGAGGGTCATTCAGGAAAACATGATCACTTTGTTTCGATGGGATCAGATGGGACAAGAGAATTGGGCGGGCAGAAAGGAAGAAAGGAAGGAAAGAAGGGAGGGAGAAAGGTGGGGATTCGCACGTAACCGACGACACCGATCACGGCCATGCTCTCGCTCTCCATAATGCATCATACAAACCGTACCGAGCTGATTTTGCGGACGCGACGCGAGCCGTACTGCGACTTGTTGAGCGACACTCGCGACATTCTACGACCGTCTTGAACCGTCAGTCACTCTCGTCTCTCTCTCTCTCTTTCTCTCGCTCCTTCCCCTCGTTGCCGCTCTCTTCTCCTTCTCTTTCGCACCCGCTCGCTCGCGGGCGCAAACCGCGTTCTATTTTCGAGCGCGCTCAACGCGCGATTCGCGACGCGACGCGACGCGGCGCGACTCGCGACGTCCGCTCTCCTCGGCCGCGAGAGAGCGACTTTGTCTTCGTCGAGCACACTTTTCTCGTTTCCTCGCGTATCGCTCTCGCCGCTCCTTCCGCGAGAGCCCTCTCTCTCTCTCTCTCTCTCTCAGTTTATCGCCGCACTCTGTCACTCCTTCCGGACCCGCCACAGTCCACCCGTCGCGCGGCGAATCACTCGTCGTAATCCGCTGCCATGTCGACTCCGACCTGCACTGGTAGCCTGGTACTGGCGCGCTCGCGTCGTCGTCCGCACTCGCTCACTTTAGCGCACTGCCATCGCGCGCAGCGCGCGTCGCGCCGACACCCGGCAACTTGCCGTCGATGCAGAGGCGCAGGGTGGGAGAGGGATCTCTCTCTCTCTCTCTTTCTCTTTCCCCCTCGGTCTCCTCGCCGATCCAAGGAGAGCGCCCTGCGAGCCTCCGAGCGAGGACACTGGACAGTGATATCGACGGCGCCCTCGGATGCAGGAGTTTTCGCGATGTACCTCTCCGGAGTGTTCTCGAGATCTCGCACTCCCCGATTTAATTTCGTCCAATCGCCAAGCCTAAGTGAATTTTTCCTGATTCTCCGTCGGGCGACTTTCTCGACGCAACCTCGCCTCCGATTTTCTTCTCTGCCGTTATTCGCTTTTCGTTCAGATGATTATTCTTTGTTCGCGGCTTGAAACTGAACTTTTCTTTTCTCGTTGTCAAAACTGAAGAAGCGTCTCGTTGTTGCTCCAGAGTTCAACGAGCGTTCGATCCATCACTCCAATTTTTCGCCTTGAAGTTATATATTCTCACGGACTTGTTCTCCCCTCTCGCAATTTAATTAATTAATTTAATTAAATCTGAAGGTATACTCCGGGATATTCCTTGCAGCGATTTGCTTTCTTCGCGCGCCCGAGAGACAACGGCAACACCGCGCGCTCCGTTTTCTCTCGGAAACTTCAATTGGCGTGTGCGCACGTGCTAAGTGACTCACGTGCGCCGCGGACAAAAGACGCGTGTGTGCATGCGCTCGCGGCGATGAGCTCTCGCGGTCCCTTGTTTTCGTCGCGGTTTGTCACGTACGGATATAGTACTCCGCTTCCGTCCAAGGTGCCCGGGTTGCCGAACCCCGTCAGCGCGTCAGCGGAATCAATCGCGCGGACTCCACACTCGTTTGGAAACGTGTTTTGCGCTTAACCCGTTTCCCCTCGTTCCCCGTCGTGACGAGCTTCGTCACGGATTATATCGATTCGACGTACGTGCGAGGGGGTATTCGCACGTGTTTGTCGAACGCGGCTGCCGAAGTACAAATGGAGCGAGCTCGAAGAGATGGAAGGCTTCCCTTTAAGCCCGTTTTCCGCTAAATCTGCGAGAAACCAAATCGACGGATCTCTGCGTCACTCCAAGGGACATCTTTAGACACTCTAGGCGGCTTGAATGGAACGCGAGAATGTTAAAGGGAAGCCGGACGCGCAGCGTTCTCCGAAGTAAGCTTCGACGCGTCTTCGCGGAAGGGAACTGGTCAGCGTGGAAGAAGCCAAGAATCACGCTCCCGTCATTTTCCGCGAATGTCGCCCGATAACCCCCGTTCTTGACGACTTCGGAAGAAAATAATATACGTCGGCACTATCCTGTCGCGTTCAATCGTGCAATTTTTTTGCTCTCTCTTTTTCTCGTCCTCAAGACAGACTCCACGCTCCCTGTACCTCCTGACACATCTCTCCTCTCAAGCTCCCCGCGCAGAACGGTCGAGAGTGCTCATCTCAAGTGGACCTCGATACGTCCACGTGCGGAGATAATCGCGAGATTAATTCGCCGGTAGCTTTTTCTTCCTCTCCACGTCCGCGGGCTCTCTCAATATACTGACAGTTTGCGCCGCAGTCAAGAACGTCCAGAGAGCGGGCACTATATCGAGGATATCCGCGACGTAGCACGGCAGATTCTATTTATACCTCGAGAACGCGCGGCGGACTCTCGAAGCTCGTCGAACTTCCGCGAACAAAGCGGCGGCACGTCCTTCTCCGCGTCCGTCCGTGCGTAATAACGTTCCCCTAAATCGAGACCGCGCGCGCTTTCTTCCCCGCGGTGACGAGAGCGAGGAGAGCATCAGGGAGCGAGGTGGGCACATCAGCGGAATCGTTCGACCGACGTCCGAGCGCCAAAACCGGCGGCGTCGGGACTCGGGACACCGGCGGATCGATTTTTCGGAGCGCGGCACCAAGCGACAAACTCGCTTTCGCACGTTGCCAATCTAGAATTCTAGAGCGTGGTTTCCTAACGGGAATTATACATTCAAATTGATGGAGATGCGCTCGGGGTGCGCATTGTTGTGACCTTTCGAGGCGAGCCAAGGCGACCACTTTGGAGCGAAGTCGCCTCGTCACTCGCCGACGCGACGATCTCCGATCCTCCGTGCGGAATCGCTCGCTCCGCGTCGACGGGGGTTGCGACTTGCGACTCCGACCGATCCTCGATGAGGATTTCTCTCTCACCTACGTGCCGTCGCGTCGCCGTGAAGGATCACCTACGTGCCGTCGCGTCGCCGATGTGCACGCTGCAATTCTCGTTCGCGCGCGTGCATCCCCACTCGGACGGAATTGCGTGACGCGTCACGCCGCGCCGGCGAAGCGAGCGTCCGCTCCGGCGCGGCGCGGCGGCGTCAAGGGACGCGCGCGCGCGTCATCCGCGTCGATCATCGAGAGAGGGAGACTGTTCGCAGGGACGTTTCGCTTCATCTCGAGACCCTAACTCGCGAAATCCCGTTTCCGTAGCGGTCCTAAAACAGTAGTGCGCGAACCTCTTTGTGCTCGCAATCCCTTCTTTTAAATAGAAATTTGACGCGACCCATTAATTCTTCGACTATTCGTATAATGAAGGATAATTATAATTTTTTAAATTAGTATACAGTCGATAATTATAATCTATTTAACTCGTGCGCATGTAAAACATTTTTTTACATTTTATACGTAAAAATAAATTATACAGTTGCATATTAATGCAGAAGTAATTTTGCGATCCCCCAATGACTTTTACGCGATTCGCAGTTCTGCGAAGAGTAAATCCTAGAATGCAGAAAATGTGTATCCATAAATTACGCATACTGCTAAATAACTCAATGTTAGAGCAGTTACTTGTCGAGCAAAAGATCCAGATTCGATTTCTGGATCCTGGATCTTGCCACTCCGCATATACGATATTAAAGACTTGTACTTTGACTATTTTCATCTATATTTGTTAATGATGCTCGACCATTAGTATTCATGTGAAGAATTCTTTTCGGAATTGCACATGATCCGGCGCTAGCTTTATGAACTCGAGCATGTCACTTATTTAAAAAACATATCTTTGATGCACTTAAGTTTTCGCACGACAATCGCAAAATTTCATTATTATTCTGTATTCCCCATAGCTTCTATTATGTCTCGCTGTTCGACTTTCTTCTATGGACGAAACATATCACGCATATCGGGGCTACATGGGTCCTACCTATGTTCCAGCTCATGCGCTATTTTTTAGTATTTATCTTGAGAGAAATAGTGAATAAATACTCAAAAATAGCACATGAGCTGGAACATACTCCTGGAGCCATATAATAGCCCCGGTCTCCCCTACTGTTAAATTCTAGTGTCAAATTACATTTAATTTGAGTCATTCTTAACTATTTCTATAGGTCGCCACTGCTCATACTCAATATGTTAACGTCGTTAATTTAACTAAACCAATGAAGTTAAAATAATCTACTATTTTGTGTTAAAATAATAAATTTCGATACACATGATAGATAAAAATAACAAAATGTTATTTAACTCAAGATATTGATTTAGATTTCATGTTTTAATGTTTAACAATGAATAAAAATACTTTCTGTTTTTTAACGTTAGATAATTTTGCGTTTAGATACAATAGCTCGCTGTAACGCAATTTGAACAATCTTTTAAAGAATTAAGTCATCGCGCGCGTTAAAATTCTGGGCCTTGAAGACTGCGTCTCATTGCTATAAAAATCCCAACTGTGATCTTAGGAATAGGTCTGTTTATGACGGAGAAAATAGCAGCTTCGACTCACATGAATTTCATAGATGTAATTTAAAGGAATGTTTGACGCATTTAATTTCGCTTCGGCCAACGAATGACACATCCATCGTCAGACTCTGTCATGTACAATAACCAGGCATAAAATATTGCGAGCTCCCAATTAAAAGGGGCTTAAAGGTGTCCTCGAACGAAATAGACGGACGATCGAAGCAACAGAAATTTATTTTATGAAACCATCTCCAGTTCGGTCTCTCAAGGAACAATTATTTTCGAATCCCTGTATCTACCGATTCTGGGAATTGGGGGGAGAGAGGAGCCGTGACGATGAGTGGAGAGTCTCGTCTTTTCGCGCGGTTAGAACAAAGCCTTAAGGCCGCCCGTCTAATTGTGAGGTCTTCGATCGAATCAGCGAGATGGAACTTACGACGAAACGGTCGAGACGCTGGTCCGCCGAATCAGCAGCCATAGCGCGTGTATCGTGGCACGATAAGCTTCGTTTTCTCCCCTCGGGGCTGTCGGCCGTGGCGAGGATCATGACGAGAGAACGCTCACATCGGCGACGCCCGGCTCTGTCGGCGCCGAACCTCTTATACGAGCGAAATAAACCCGGGACAATGTCAAAAGTTAGGCCGAACGCGCGGCCGCGAGCTCCAGTCACGCGAAGCACTGTGCGACCGCGCGCGGCGCAATGCTCGCACGGCTGATGACGCTTATGAATTAATTAGATAATAACCAGCGACAATTAGAGCTGAAGGCACGGACGCATGAAAACACCATCTGCTTCTCATCTCTGCGGAAAAATTTCCTTTAGCGCGCGGCGCGGTCTGAATACAGCGCGAATAAACAAACGGGCGTGTCTCCGTTACGATAAATCCGCACTTCGAGTTCCGCGTCGATACTTGATCTTCTGGGAAAATCTATTGGCGTGTTATTGATTATTTACGCACATTAGAATTTTTGTAAGCCCGCGAAGAAATAAATTACATTGAATTTGCAGGATTATAATATACTCTCGAATTAAATCAATATAGTTTAATGTAGGAAAGTTCCCTCAGAGAAACAAAAATTTTATCTTTATAAATTTACAAGTTGCATAATTAATCTCTTCAGTTCCGCGAGCTTTACAATTTTCAAGCTTCTTAAATTTTTAATAAAAGCGCATTGACAAATAGATTTTTAGCAAGTTTTATAAGTTAAGAGGTTTCTATTTAGTTTATTTAACATAATTTGGCATAAATGCCGGTTCAGTTAATGTCCTTCTGCCGATAAGGAAATATTTAAGCTACGTGAGCACTTAATGGCAGTGTGGGCACTTAATTGGCGTCTCGACATTATTCCTCCTTCGAGGAAAATAATCTCTCGCGATAGATCGTGATAATCGTGTGTTTGCACGACGAGGCTCAAATATTTCGCGAAGCAGATAGACAATTCTAACAAAACTGTTTCAGAGTTTTACTCGGTTTACGCGGTGTTTATCGGCCTGGTAATTTGCTCGGAACGCACGTAGAGCCGATAAAAATTGAAGTGGCCAACGCGAATGATAAACGAAAGCTCGACCATTATCGAGGGCGAGGCTATTCCCGCACTTGTTTCCGGCGCGAGAAACCGTTTAATCGCCGTCGCTGATCGTTGCCGTTCGCGCGTACGCAATTTGGCCGATTCGGCACCGCGATAAAGCGCGGCCCAAAGGGAGAGCAACGTTCTCGGACGCGTACACGATGAGTCACATTTAGTATTGTTTGTGCATGCGCTCTAATTATTCCAACCTTACTGGTTTGTACCACCGCCTGTTGACAGCGAAGTCCGCGCCCGCGCTTCCGCGCTATACATTCTTCAGACACGAGCGACCGTGAGCGTGCGTTTGACGCGATTATCGCGGCGTGTATCGTCAAGCAGAAATTTGTCAGGAGTAAGAGAGAAAGCTTTTAGCAATTCAAATTGAGCGAAAGTAAAATGCGAACAGATAAAACTGTACAAATTTTTGGCACCGAGATTGTTCCTTCGAGTGTGAAGAGAACCGTTTTATTATACGCACAAATAATGATAACCTAACTGATTTACCGCGGATAAATTTTCTTTTACGTAATTAGGTGCGTATCGTTCGTAAAGTTATTGACGCGATAGAGAATTTAATCGACGAAAAAAATAATCTATGGCAGAAACGCGATTTAATATCGGGCGGTTGAACAGCCGCGGATTCGAGGTATGTTCGACATCGATAAAAGGACGATAACGGGTTCAATAAACACTCAAAAGATAAGGAGCTCGCACACAGGAAAGTAGATCTTGATCTCCCCGAGTCACGAGTGCGTTATAAACCGTCGCGGGATGGAGGTCATTTTCAGCTCGGAAAATGAAATGATGATTTCTCGAGTCGGTCTTTTGTAATTTTTGAGTCGAAACTTTTTTTAAATAAAAGATTACTATTCATATATTTAATATAATTCTTCGGAAATCACGAGACAGAGAGAGAAAGAGAGAGAGAGAGAGAGAAGAAACTCGCGGAAACAATGTAGCGTATCGTCATCCGGGATACAATATATCATGTTTTGTTGGTACTGCGATGTCACATTATCAATTTCCTCGTTAACCAGCCTACAACCCACTTTCACTCACGTATTTCGCGATCGCTCGGTCATGTTGCGTATATTTTTGCCATTTACCTTGAGCAGATCGATTGAGAAATAAACGCTAAAAAGACACGCGCGAAAAATGCGGCGTAAATCGTGCAAATTGCACGCCACAACAAAATACCGACAATTTGTTAAAAGGCCATTGAGGCACATATTACGTGTCTCTCTTTTCCAGAATTTGCTCGATTCAGATAGCATTAAACCGAATAATGAAATAAAACGTCAAATAAGATTGGTGTTTAGTATTTTTCAACTTTTAGAACCAAGAAAATCAACGATCCCAGGAACACAAAATTATATTCTCTCTAAATGCAAATCGTGAACATTGATTTTTTACACGCAATTAATTTTCCTTGCCGTTACTACATTCATTGTACGCGTAATTTGTCTTCCCCGTCCATTAGCAGCAGTGCGTAAATCGTCTGGAAACGCATATCTGTTCGGCGGATATATTAGCGACGAATGAATCATGTAGCGAAATGTCGAATCGCCGTGAAATAATACGATCGCAAATATAACCGAGCGTAATGTCGAATCAACGACGAGGAAACAATAATTTGAAATTTACTCGCTCGTTTATTTGTGATATCTGAGTAATATATTAATAATGCCTATACCATTAAGAAATTGTAATGAATGATCCTTCCAGAAATTTTTCCTGATAAAATATCGATAATATATATTCAGGCACGAATATATCAATAATATATATTCGTTTTGAACGTTAGTGACGCGTGTGGAACCCATTAGGAAATGGAACTCTGTACGTAAACAGAAAAAGACGAATCGCCGTCCGTGGCATAATTATTTGCTGTCGCCAAATGATGCGACGCGCGTCGATCTACAGCGGAATTTCGTGGGAGAAAGAAACACAGAAAGTATGAAAAATTACGCCCACAAGGTAATCATACGCCGTCGGCTTCGCTATCGGTTCGATTCGAATTCCTGCTAACGCTGCGGAGGCACGTGAAATCGCTCGAGAGCACGTCGACCACGTGGGATATCTTCACGAAAAATCCAACGTATCCTTCGACGAAAGAAAAACGATACTTAATTAATGCGCGATCGAAGATTTGCAATGCAACGTTAGAAATTTTACGTATGTTACGCAAAATGCGGAGTCATCGTTTCGCTATTCATCGTTATCGCGGGTGATATTTTTAGGCAATCGTGACATCAAAAAAATAAATATGAAAGTACACTGAAAAAAATCTAGTTGAATTAATTGGACGTCTGAAAAATGAATGAACCAGATTCTTTTAATTAATGCGACCAGAATTTCTATTAATTCAACCAGATTCTGGTAGATTCAACCGGTATTTTCTGGGGAAAAATGAACAAACCAGATTTTTTTTTCAGTATACAAAATTTACACAATATTATTATTAGGCTATCAAGTTCCAGTTCGGACCATAAATGATGTTCTTTTTTTCTCTAATTGATTGATCATAACATAAGTTTCATTTATTATAAAATATAAATATAAAAATATCTATAAATACTCCCAATGTTAATAATATTTCAGTGCTTAATTATCATAGTTGGAAGCTCGTAGAGTTTCGCGTAATCGAGTTCGAATTTTGATGTCGAGAGTGGCCTCATTACTCGAATATAATAATGACGAAAATGCGACAATCACATAACGACATCAATTTCAATTTTTAATGCAATTTCTCTAATTGTAAGGATAATGCAGTTATTTAATATTACTCAGAGACATGCTTGAAATTATGTAATATCGTTTGAAAGTAGTAACCGGCGATTATTTTTTACATTAATCGACGTTATTGGATATATATGGAATTACATAATATTATTCAAGGCTGCAATTGTCTTTCGAGCGGCGTTAAGCCATCGATCCTCCCAAGGCCGCGCTTTACGCGCGCGACCGTTACGCTTACCTTATTTTTAGGCGACATCGCGAGGGTGGCGGGCGGGTCCGCCCTCTCGGCTGGAGGCGAATGCACCCTCGCGCGCGAGCGACGGCGCGAGTTGGCGACGGGGACGGGGAGCGGTCGGGAGGGCGCGAGCGTGAAGGCGCGGGGCCGCGGCACCTGACCCGCCGGCGACACACACCCGGAGGAGCAGGAGGAGGCGTTTGCCCGTCTCCGTGGAGCTGACTCGGCGCGAAACGCGAACGCGACACGCGCGCGAACGATAGAAAATGCGCTCGCCTCGCGTTCCGCTCAACCACCGGCCGACTTAATCGGCGCGGACACGCAGTGCACGTCCATCCGATTCCCCACCAGCTCTCCTCGGAAACTTCGCATCTCTCGCCGCGCTCTCGCGTCCCCGTCCCCGTCCCCTTCCCCCTCCCCCCGCCCCCCCTCCGCCGTCCCGTTCCCGTCGTCGCGTCGCGTCGCGTCGTAGCGTTTTGCTCCGGCACGTACACACCCGCTACTTTCCGCTCGTCCCGCGTTCCGCGCTGCGCTGCACCCGCGATCTCAGTCATCCGTCTCACGCTCTCTTTTTTCTCTTTCTCTCTCGCTCTCTTTCTCTCTCTCTCTGTCTCGCCCTCCCGCGTTCTTTCGCCCTGTCGCTTCTCTAAAACGCGAGCAGCGGCGCGTTATTCACCGGTACGCGTTCGTGAACAAAGCGGTTGAGCCATCGTCGGCGACCGAGTACAAAGTTCTGCACGATACAATTTCTTTGGAGCGCACGAGACACCGTTACACGCGTACCTACTCGAAATCGATTTCCCAAGCACCGAGCTCTCTCTCTCCCTCGTGAATGATTACGACGTGCGAGTTTATCTGATCGCCACGTGCAAACGATCGCGGTAATCGAGCCGGAGGTACGCGAACTCTAATGACTTCGAACGTAAACGTAAGCGGTAAAGAGATATATAACGTATTATGAAAGATGTATAATGTCAGGATGCTGAGAAACTTTATTCGCGAATTTCTCGGCCGAAGCGAAATCGGCGTGACGCTTCGGTTACAAAGCGTTCAAGCATTTAGATAAGATGTCTAAATATAGATAATGACATCCAGCTACATTTTTGTTGAGCAAAAATCGATTGGAAATCAGCCAAGAAATTTATTCACTGAGGAATAATGTATAGAAAGAGAATGTCCTGTATACGTATAATGTGTGTTTCTCACGTACATGTCGATTTGTGGGATGTCTTGTCGCAATGCTGTTGAAACGTGCCAAATTTCGGAGTAACGCGAGACGCGCGAATTAGCCTGCATTAAATCACGACGAGCGATGACGTAATATAGTTTCGAGAAAACGGCGTAAGTTCCGGTGATTAATGGGGAGAAAAATAATTGTGAGTGTTCTTCATATGGCGACCTTCACACGTGCGTGATCCGGATCCACGAAACTTCCGTGTATTGTTTTAATTATCGGACATTACGACACGGTAATGCTGGAATTTTATTAACGCGATACGCACCGCGTTAACCGCGATAACGATATCTTAATGTGATACTACCGCGACGTGTGTTTGCAAAAATCAGATGATTCCCGCCGCCGCCGCCGCCGCCGTTGGTGAAATTTTGCAAGAAACGCGAATATTATTTATGGAATATTCTCTCGTTTTACACATATATATTTTGAGACTTAATCCGTATCTTAATAATTGACGGTGCGAATAATAGTGAAATGGATTTATGAAGGCACCGCTAAAAATATATTCGACCTCAGACTTGGAAAGTTGAATTTTTAATAAAATAATTATATTATTTCAATTTTCAACCTTGGCAACCTTGGCTAAATTGCAAAAAGCCAAGACAAACTTAATTTCCTTAACAAGCAAAATTTTAAGCGGGTAATCGATCAGTGCATCTCGCCCGCGTTAATTTTGCATCATTATTTTACGCTGATCAATATAAAAGTAATTAATCAGGATTGTGTGTGTTAAAAGAAAATAAAATAAAGAATAGAAATGTGTGTGAATTATTTTTTGTTCTGTGGTCAGAGAGCCATTCGACACAGCGACGTATATTTTAGTTTTTTTATTTGCGAATTTAACCGAGACACACTCATCGATAGGCAAACACTCTTAATGGGTATATTTAAAATTTTTTATAGTCTCTTCCTATGCGGCTTATGTAGCTTTACGGTTCTCTATTATGAATGGATAAACTGCATAAAAAATAACAGAAATCTACCGATATAACGTATAATCGGCGTAGAACAATATCACAAAATCGAGTGCACTTAAGCCTGTATCAGACTACAGATTGGAATTGAGATTGGATTAAAATCTGACCGATCAGAGCAAAGTAATCATTAAATTTGAAATTAGTTTTCTCTATATTATTCTGATTGATTAAATTTCAATCCATCAATCTCAATCCGTAGTTTGATACAGGCTTTATGCATTTTTATCGATAGTCGTCAGAAGAAGAGGTAAAAAGGGTAAAAAACAATCTGGCGTGTCCATTATCCCCTCTGGAAGAATCAGGACGTTTGAAAGTAAAGGGGTAACGAGAGAGAAAAGGGAGCACGCAAAACGGAACACTTACGATGTTGTGATTCGCCACGATCGTCGGATTCGGATGTATCTGCAGGCCGTCATCGTCGCCAATCTGCTCGCCGATCTGCTCGTGGCTGGTGGCGGGGCCCATTTCAGTGTCTTCCGGACGAGGGACGGGGCCCGTCGAAACCGAGGCGCCGGCGTCGGCGCGGCCGATCGATCGACCGATCCCTCGGGCGATCGAGACAACGATCCGGGGTCGGCGCAGCCCTCCCGCACCGACGACGGCTTACGATGCCCCCATCGGCGTAAGCCTGACAGGGGTCCTACGGAAGTCAGCCTCCTCGGCCACGTCTACGTCCATTTGCCCCGCAAAGAACGATCGGGAGGATCGATCGTGCGAGGACGATCGAAACGCGCACGTATCCCCCTTCCTTCTTCCGCACCCCTCGAGAGAGACCGCCTCCCCCGTGCGGAGACGATCGTCGTTCACCGGCGAGCCTCGGCGTTTCCGGAGCTTAGCGCTTGCAAGTCCGGCGGTGGCAGGTCTTAAGCGATCCGATTCCTCCGCTCCTTGCTATCATCTCGATAATTCGGAGTGCTCGTGGACACCGGCCTCCTTCCCGTCACTTTTTGCACGGCGACGTTCGAGGATGGTACCCGGGGTGACATCGAGTCAGGTCGGCCTCGTCGATATCTCGACTGGCCTGCGCCAGCTTGGACGACAATGGGAAACATATGATTGTCTTCCTTATAATCTCCGAGAATTCCAACCCTCCTCGGCAACAATGAGAGAACAGTTTTGTGTCGTTATCGTCACACAGATCCTTCGTCAATTCTTCGTGGATTCTTGGAAGTTTTAGCCAGGAGCTGTTCTCCGTCACGTCGCGACACTGTCCGCCGGCGTGGATAATTCACGAGAACTTCGCCGACAGCCCCCTTAGGTCACTGGTTCACCGGTGTGTCTGCCTCCGCGGTGAATCCCACGACGATCGATCGCGCCCGAGCTTTCCCCGAGCCGCTACCAAGAAGCGTTTGGTACCGACGTCCCGACGACGTCGACGAGGACGACGACCACGACGTGTCGCACACACCCACCGGCCGGCTTCGCGGCTGCACCGCGAGGAGGGAAGGAGAACTCGCGAGGCGCGCGCGACGGTGCGCGCGGGACGAGAAGGTTGACGGCGTTTTGACGAGGAGACGAAGTAACGGCGGGGTTTCCGCCGGTTTCAGTCCAGACGCGAAGATAAAAAAGAGGAAGGCCGAAAAAAGAGAGACGACGAAGAGGTCCTCCTCGCCGCGCCGGGGAGAAGAAGGTTCCCTCTCGCCAGCAGCAGGCTCTACCCCGCCGCGGGTGGGTAGCGCCGCGGCGCCCCAGGATCAATAAAACGACCGCCCGGCCGTCGCCTGTCCTAGGTCCTGCCTGGCCTCCGCCTGCCGTATGCTTGTGCGACCGCGGACGCCCGACGTCCCGACGCGGCGCCCGCGGCGCCCGCGCCGTCGCGTTTACTCCGCGCGCGCACACCAATCCCCGGAGCGCGGCGACGCTCCGGCGCGATCTTCCGCGGGCCGCGCGCAAGCCCGCTCGCGTGCGGAACTCGCGCCGCGGATCGATATTCTCGACGGCGGCGGCGGTCAGGAGTGTCCGCGGGGAAAATCCGCGAAAAATGCACACGATTCACGGAACTCGGTGACTTTGCGGGGAAATTCAGGGACGAGCATAACGGGTTACGTTGCTCGGCGAAGGAAACACGGTTTTTTTAATTTAATATTCAACGAAGGAGAGGGAGACCTTCCAATCTTAACTTTATGATTATATTTGCTACTTGAATAAAATATATTATTGTTCGTCCTATCTATGTTATATTCATGGAAAAAACAATCTTATTTTTAGAAATTAATGTATTTTTGTATTTCGTCACTTTATTCCTGCGAAGAGAAAGTCTGAAATGTTGTGCAATATTTTTCAAAGTTCCCATATATTATGTAAAATATTTAAATTAAGATAATTACGCGATCGAACATCTATGGAACGCACGCGAACTTTTATTTGGAGCGGCCGGTCATTACCTCTCGATATATCTGCTGGGTCAGTGCAACTGACGTGTCTCGCTTCTCTTCGTGAATAATTTGTTATAAAGAGCAGGCAGAAGAGAATTTTTAAACGTTAATTAACTGTCAGATTAATAAATATGAGTTACGGCGATGGAATCGTAAACGCTAGAACCGATATATAAACTACATTTTGTATATATTACTGTCGTAGGGAATTTAATTATTCATGAGAGTCTAGTCCCCCCCCCCCCCTTCGTGTATGCATTATTACCGTATAATTACTTCGTCATTACTGTAATATTAATATTTTTACGGCGCTAGTTACGTAACTCATATAATATCAGACACTTTTACCGTATAATACCGTTATAGTGTTGGTTATATAGTTACTATATATTGCATCCCGTATGTACAATCGCTTTCATTTCGTTCCTGCTCTTTGCAGATCGATATCGTCGACAACCCTCACGGTAGCTACGAACATATGTTCCAAGGATAGTCTGCAGTCTGGCGATAGTCTATTATTGTAATAATAGGGCAGGCAACGCGCTTATAAAAGTCCAGCGTTTCAGTTCGATGCATAACATAACGTAATTTGTGGATTATTTATAAAAGCAAAAATTCAAATCAAGCAAAATTTAACGAGGTGATGCATCGAACGTAATATATTCAAGATTTAGAGTAATAAAAATATTCATAACATTGTGATCTATTTAATTAGTAATATATTTTACATTAATATATTTTAAACGTGCAATTAATAAAACGTTTCTTAAAATACAAAAGAATTGCTTTCAGACAGTTAATTATCTGTTTTTTAAAACTTTAAAATTATTTTTAAAAGTAATTCAAAACTAACTGTAATTTCAATAATGTATTGAGACTCGTGAAAATGTCAACATTAAAACGGCGATGCGAGTCAGCGCAGAACATGGAGCGCAATAAAGTTTAATGTTAACTGTAATTTAATATCATTATCTTGCGAAGAAATGTATACATATTAAACATTTTATTAGTTATATATAATTTTATAATCACATAAGACATGACAAACGCGTTGAATTTTTAATAATCACTTCGTAATTTTTTGACTGTGTCGCAAATGTTTGATGACTTGTTCCGCCGCACCGCTTATGTCGCTCCGTTTCGCGGACATCATCGTCTCGATTCGTTCGAACGGAATTATCGTAGTCAAATCGTGAACGTATTTCGGTTCCTCGAGATCGTAAGTGACGGATTGTAGAACGCGAAGGCAGAGCAGTTGCATCTCTTCCGAAGACGCCTCATCACCCAAACAATGACTTAGCGCGTCTCCTACTCGCGACTCGAGCAGATATTGCAAGCCGGTCTTGTTCATGCTCACGTTGTACAAGATCATTAATATTAATCTGTAATTGCGACCGCACTTAAGATATCATCAAAGTTTCGTTTTTTTTTCCCAATAAAATGCAATATTAGACTACGATATATATAGACATTGGGAAAGAGATAAGATAGCTATAGAACAGATTAAAATAACTTTTAAAGATACGTCACACAAGATAACTCTTTAAAACGTGCCTTTTCAAAGATACCGTCCCGGGAGCAGACGGTAATTCGGGCGTCAATTTAATTAGCTTTTGCACGAATTCCGTACCGCTGGAATTTGTAATTAAAAACTCACGACCTTCCGGGCTCGCGGATATATTGGTGACGACACCGAGTAATCCCATTACAAATTGGTACTCAACGTTGCTCGTAGGAGGGAATGCGCTTCTATAAGTATTAACGAACGCGTCGAATGTCCCGTTCACTATTGACAAGAATTCTCCTATTTTATTCTGAAACTAGGGAAACGGGACTACATTTATAGCACAGCTACATTTAAAGAGAAGTCACATTACATTTTGAAAACTTATTTAATTATACATTTAATTACATGTCTATATATATCTTTATAATATAGAAAGGCTTGCAATATTACACTGTTAAATTCGTAATGTCAAATTATACTCAAATGAAGTCATTTTTAGCCGTTCGTATAAGTCGCCATTACTCCTACTCAATTGTTGTTAATTTAACTAAAATGAAGTTGAAATAATATTTTTGTGATATTTTTAAAATAATAAATTTCGACGAACATGGTAGTTAAAAATAACAAAATGTTAATTTAACTCAAGGTGTTGATTTAAATTTTATCTTTTAATATTTAACAGTGTATATATTTTGGATTCTATATCTTTTTTTATCTTCTCTAACTTTTATTACGCATTTCGAATGCAGGAAAATTTCAACTACAATATTTTACTTAATATTATTAACGTACTTACGTTCGATAACCAAGCGTCGACTATTTGCGGAAATCTAGAAGCACGCCACGTCAAGTTACCTAATACCGCACCAAGGCTTGTGCAATAAGTACTCTGACTTAATATCTGCACGAAGATATAAGCAAATTAACAAATGGCACTTTCAAGAAAGTAATGAAAATGCTCCATTTGGTATTTACGAAATAATAAACAGGCAAAAAATACTCGGTATTTACAACAAAATACACAAGCGCAAAGAAACATGAAAACAAAATAACGAATGTTGCTAGTAATAAAGGTAATCCAAACGTGAAATAATAGCATCTACCGATATTGAGATAATAAACTTTTACTTGATCCTTCAAACGTTCTATCTCCTCAAACGCATCTTCTTTCTGTTTCGTTAGACACTCGATCTGAGCACGCAGTTCTTCGCATTTTGATTCCAACGCTACAATTTCTTTTGCATTATCTATAATAAATAAATTCGATATTCAATTTCAGTCACATATAAAGATGTAACCAATATTTCATATAATGAGTTACAAGATGAAGTATCGCATCTAATAACAGATACCTAAATGCGCTATAGCATTTTTCAATAAATTTACTTCAGTATTTTACATTCCCGCGTGACATTACGTAACATTAAATCGAAAATCTCTTTTCGCAAAGAGTGCAACCTTTTGACGCGCTAACGGACGACGTTGAGAATTTATCGTAAAGCGTGTGTGAATTCTTTTCTCCGTTTGTCTCCTCCCTACGAGATACAGCTTTGAGATCGTCAATCGCAAAAATCTGCGGGATATTGTCTATGAATTCGTGCGCGTTACGCTCGCTGGAGCATAAAATTGTCTCCAAGGAATTCTGAAAGAATTCCGAAGTTCGCAAATGAAAATTATACACACGATAAGCACCATACGATAACCCATGCGAAAAAATACGCACTGACGAGTTTACGTTCATTTTCCAAATTCAATTCGTCCATGTGCGCGCTTTCGCGTTACCGAGGAAGAACAACAACGTGCTTGCAATCGTTGTACGCAAATATTTTTCAGATTACCCGCGGGATTTCGTTGTTGTACATAGCAAACGCGTTTGTAACGTCACGATTTTTATTTTTGATGTCTCTGTAACCTAGTTAATTTTGCGATTACAATTGTACACGTTTTATTTTGTTTTTGCATATGATGTGCTACAATATATGAAATTGTAAGTTAACGATTTGCATAATTATTGAGATTTACGAAAATTATAATTGAAAACATACGCCACTTGGAAAGCAATCTCTTCATTCAAAGCAATGAATTAGTTCTCAGAGTCCTTTTCTTCGTACTAAGGGATATCATTTTACAAAAAATAACATTTGACTTTTATCTGGAAAAACTATAATCTCCAGCAGTGCGCTTTGACTTCAATTGCATTTGGTTAACTTATCAGGCAGATTGTACATACAATATACGTGCGCAATCTCGTAAAAAAAAGCACGAATTATATGTTATTTCAAGATATACTCTGAATATGTAATACGATATGTTTCTGAAAATAGCATTTAATAAAAGAAGAAAATTGATTTATTTCTAGTCTTCGTTAATGCTTGTAATAAGCGCACTATAGACGATCTGTAATTCGTATCAGAATTCAGAATAAAATTTCATTTATAATTTTATTCGCCATGCAATATAAAAAGTATTTAAAGAATAAAAATACACGAAAATGTATAACATTTATATTAAAATATATACACATAATATATACAATAACATAAAATATGTATACATAAATATACGCGGCGTATAAGATTATAAAAAGAATTTTATTCTAAAATATCTGACGTGAATCGAATTGTAAATGAAATCTAAAGTAGCTTTTAGGTACGTGTCATTATTTATCACAGAACTTCTATCATGATAAATATATCTTAATAATAATTCCAACAGCATACCAAATCTGTCACCAGACAGATTTTGTAAAGTGTCTACATTTTTTTAGCAGCCAGCCGAAATATATAACAGAATCTATAATCTATATAATAATTAAGATAAACGACTAAAGACGAGCACAAATAGGGATGTTGTTGATTTAAAAAGTCTATTATTATCAATAATGTATTAATTATGTCGAACGTTTCGACTATACTTATTTGTTAAGTTTTCCTTAGCAACATATAATTAAATATCAAAGGTTAATAAAGTCAAGATTATAAATTTTAGTAAAACGAAACGGCCTAAGAATTTAACAAGATGTCAAGATGTATAAAATGAAGTAATAACCGGTTAAAGATCGCAAACAAACAACAACATAGGTATATTTATCGGTAAATGGCAAAGATCGCCCATTGTTAAGTGTGTAATAAAATATAATATAAAAGCTGATCAATAAAAAGATTAAAAAGTTTACAAAATTTTTTTAATCAAACAAAAACTTACATCAATATTCAGCGCATTAGCAATTCACAGTTTCAATCAAACTGGTAATAGAGTTAATATAATAGTCAAAAGAATTGTCAAGAAAAATAAGCATCCGAATATTTATCTCTGAATTAACTACAAGTATTTATTAGAGACAGGAGTTAACGCGGCAAATATATTATAGTCATATGCCTATTTTTAACTCGGAAATGGACGCCTGATTTCTTTTGCATAAATGCACACGTCATAAGGTCACGTGGAGTGATTTTTTTACACTTTAATTTAAAAAGTCATTGTTATTTATAAATGCATATTGCATATTTTTCATTGTTCTATAATTTATTAATATTTGAGGACAATATATGTATATAGATTTAAACATTTTCTGACAGAAGTAAGAACAAACTAAAAGAAATATTTAAAAAATGAAAAAAAAGCATTAAAATTATTTGTGATGTGTGAGCTTAATTTTTTTGATACTGGGGTATAAAATTTACCCCAGACGCTCGTTCCTGAGTTCATCACAATCGGATTGAAACTGCGAATTGCTGATCTTGAGTAATTAACATTAATTTATTTTTAAAGATACATAGATCGTTATATATTTATGTGGATCTAGAGATTATAAAAAACACGGAATATAAAAACTTTCCAATTTATAATACATCTCTCCGAGTGAGATAAACAGAGTTTAATTCAAAGACAATCGTAGCTATAGAATTATGCACGCTGGTTATGAATCATTTGCGACATACCACTGCGGTGCCGGCGGTGCGGCTTCCGTTCCCCGTGATAAGATACGGGCACGGGCCCCAGCGTGCCCCGTACCGGACGCGCGCGAATAAACGCGACGCGAGTTGCGAACGCGCCGTGCTGACGTAAACGGCGTGGCGTGGGTCGATTTCCCGCGTGGGCTAAATCGGATGGGTTGCGGAACGCGCGACGCGCGTGCCTGCGTGCCTGCGCGCCTGCCCCGCGCTCGCGCGTCCCTCCCCCATCATTACTACGATGCGCCAGAGCGGTATCAGGCGTAACCTCGCGACTCGTGGAAGTTTTATTATTTTTCGCGGCGTCGCGGCGGATATCTCCGGAGTGGAACCGACCGTTGGAGCACGAGTAAGTAGAGCGTTTGCGAAGCCACGACGTCGCGATCCCGGTGAGACCGAGTTCCGATCCGTGGAACCCGCCGAAAGCGCGGGCGAACACTTTCCCGCGATTCGCTTCCGATGCCGCGACCGTTTACGTTTACGTTTAGCCTTCGTAACGGGCGGTTACGAAACTTACGCGGCACCCCGCGCTTTTCGACCGGACCGAATTCCTGCTCCGTTATCCGTGCAGGCTCCTGTGTACGCGTACGGAGCAATAAGTGATCGTTTTCGAGCTGCAATTGCGTTAAATCTGGATTATATAAGCCCAGTGGATCTAATTATCTCGCTTTCCTAGATTATCCTATGCGTTATGTGATATATGTGATATATGTGGATATATGTATATATATACATATATATATATACATATATGCATATATACATGTATATTGCATATATATGTAACATTGAGCTAGAGAAGATTTATCTAAACTAAACTGATTAGAGTTAATTAATAATTTTTAATTAAGTTTTAAGTTTAATTTTTGGGATATGCTCCACATAGGTCTCCCAATGAAGTTTACCGAGGGTGAAGAAGTCCTTGCCAAGTATCCGAATACTTCTGAATATTATAAGGGAAGGATTCTCAACGTCAGAGGCGATCGATATAAGATACAATTTGAAACAGGCATGGAGTACACAGTTAGAGAAAATGACATAAAGGTAAGTTGTTAACGATTGGTAAGGGAACATTGTTGTAAATTGACTAAATTGAGGAATATATAGGATGAATTTGAAGCTAAGGTCTTATCTTATATACCAGTCTTTTTTGTTTTCTAAGGCTGAGAGAGCTGGAAGAAGTACTACTAGAACAAGCAGGAGAACAACAAAGAGTCCCTCAAGATATTCCCCCAGCAGGAAGTCACCGAGCAGGCGATCGCCAGGAAGACAGTCGGCCAGATCGCCAGGGAGATCGCCAACGCTTTCGTCTAGGAAATTGCCTGTTCGTAGCACGCGTCTCGCTAAGATATCTCTATCTCGCATAGATGTCGAAAGCGGTAAGTGTATTCTGCATTTGATATTTGTTGCGCGTATTGATATTTATATGCAAAATTCTTCTCGTTTGTATAGATAAAACCAGCAATCATAAAGGAAGCGACTTAAAGGCACTGCAGGAGAGTCCGACTGAATCGTTGCCTCTGCAACAACGCTTGAAGAGGGAAATTATAACGGTAACGCGCAGACCGACGCTTCTGAAGACTGAGCAGGAATATAAATCAATTATAACAAGAAGCATGGATAGAGCCGTCTCGCTTCCGGTGGAGAGAAAAAATTATGTACAAGATTATCCTCCGGGAGACAAAGAAAGAGGATATTCAATGCAAAGAGATGTACGTTTTGATAATGTATTATTAATATATAACAAAATATTATTCTCTGATAATTTTTTCTTGTTTTCTAACAAAATTGTGATGTGTTATGTCGATGATTGTTTCAGGATTTGACAAAACCCTTGCATGAGGGCGATAAATGGGAATCAGTGGTGAAACGTGAAAAGGAGATAAATAGAGTCGACAAGCCGCAAGAATGGGGCGGATGGATCGGGACATCTTTTCTCGTATTTATATTACCGATTTCTGTAATCTTACCACAACTCTTGTGCTTGAAAGGACAGTGCAAATCTGCACTTGTAAAACCTGCTGTCAACTTGGAATCTTACTTAAATTTATATACCTTGTTGTCTTACATTGCATTTTTGATATTATTGGCTTGTATTTCGATTATACCGATTGGGAAAACCGTTGACGGACAGCAGAGTAAAATCGGGAGACTCCAATATCGCATAAATGGTACATGCTTGTGTAATTTTTAATTACGTATTGTTGTTATTATTATTATTACTTTAATATTTTCTTAAAATTTTTCAGGTTTTTTGAGCGCTATAGTAACGCTAATGATAATTGGTCTATGCCTGTACATGAATATACCGATTAGCGATTACATCTTGAATAATATCATGCAGTTGTCAATTAGTGGCTGGATTGTGGGAACATTTTTAGCTATGGCATTGTATATCAAGGCAGGAAAAGCTTCAGTGGCCAATCTGAATATATATGCATCAACCAACAGCAAGATATATAATTTTTGGCAGGGCAGAGAAATTAATCCGCGAATTGGCACTTTGGACATTAAGCTACTTTTGATACGAGCTTCTCTTATTGGCACGGTAATTATTACTTTTTATTTTTATTTTTACCGCAAGCAGATTATACAATATGAAGTAACAATTAAAAATTGATTGTAATTATATTCACTATTTTGCAGTTGATCGTGAACATAGCCGTCGCAATTAAAGCTGCTGGCGATATAAAGAATCTAAGTATTGAGAAACTTGATATAACTGCATTGTTAGCTGTCTTGTTGCAGCTATTTTATATCATACATGGCTTAATATACGAAGCTACTATTTTTACGACCTTCACAATAATGTACGAGGGAACTGGATACATGACATGTGTTAGTCACCTGTTGTACCCATTTTTGACGACTCTCACCACAAGATTTATATTATATCAGAAGTAAGTTCAATTAACATACATAAATACCAACACAATATTTTGATAATTCCTATTTTGTATTCTCTCAGGATGAAACTTAACTACTTCGCTGGGATATCTATTTTGAGCTTTGTAGTGGGATATGCTTTATACAGGGCTAGTAACTTGCGGAAAGATGAGTTTAGGAAGAATCCAGTTTCGCCGACAATACCTTGTAAGTGTAAGGGCAAGCAATAACTATTCCTTTTTTTCTCTTCTGATTAAAACTAACGTTCATCCTTGAAATTTACAGATTTGGAAACTATCCCGACATTACGCGGAAAGAAATTGATGGTGTCAGGTTTATGGGGCTATGTGAGACATCCCAATTATTTGGGCGACATTATAATGCAGTGGTCTATCGCGAGTATTAGCTTGGCAAACGACATTCTACCGTACTACACGGCGATCTGCTGCACGTTAGTGCTCGCTTACAGAGCCGTGAGAGACAATAAACGTTGTCAGGCGCGCTACGGATACGCATGGGAGCAATACTGTTCGCGAGTGAAGTACATGATCTTGAAACGTATATTTTAAGGCAATGGGACGCATAGCATGGTATTTTTGAATGCCCAATTCTATATCAGAGTTTTATCACAGAAGGTAATGCTCATTACATTTTATAGGATCTCTAATCGTGCATTTTAAGATATTTTTATGAAACATAGTGATATATTAGTATTATAAAGTACACAAATGTAGAATCAGATAAGAGCCAAAAATATTTTGATAATATTGAGAGATTTCACATTAAAGATCTATATATATATATATTATATATTTAAGTTTATGACATGAATCTCCATATATGAGATGAGAAGTGGACAAGACGATATCACATGTTTTGATAAAGAGAGAAAAAACTTGTGTATTTGTAGGATAAGTATATACAATATACACATATATATATACATAGTATATTTGTTATAAGATATGTGCCTGTAAAAATATCGAGCATTACAAACTTGAAAATACAAATTAAGAAATTAAGAAATTTTATACTTTTATATATTAGACATACATAAGTGTACAATTTTATTATATAATTATCATAGAAATTAGTAGTCTCCTTAAAAGACATGATTTTTTTGAATAAAGTATATTCTCGTCTATTTTCTCGTGTTTATCTTATAATTCTAATATAACTGTTTTTAACATGGGTGTATAGCCATATTTTTGAAGACTATGAAGTCTATAATAGTCTATATTCTATATATAACCATATATACATATATTGTATTTTTGGACTAAGGATCTATTATAGGATTTATAATAGGAATAATATAAAGGGCGCATTATTATGGGATAATATGCTTTTCTAAATTAAATTAACAAGTTGCTATTATGAAAGCCACAATTAAGTAAAATGAAGAATGAGAAATATTACACTGTGTAACTTAAACATGTTAAACAGGATTAAAGTGTTGAATGGATTGTTAATGATATAAAAATATGTAGTATATTTGTACACTTATTTTTTATTAAACTGCTCGTATATATACATGTACATCTAATTATTATAAAAACAATCTCGTTAAATTGGATTGTTAAAAATATGTCCATTCGATCCAATCGTCTGTAACGTAATTGTCAAACGGAAGTTTGGACATTCTTACACTGTAAATCATTACGTGTCTTAGCCAATCGTTAATAGAGATTATCCTCTATTTTACATGTGTGTGTGTGTGTGTGTGTGTGTGTGTGTTTTATCTAACAGATACCATTTATTCCTAAAAATAAAGATTTATCAAAATTGCACGTGCGACTTACTGTAAAATAATGAAAGCAAATTTCCGTATATCTATAAATCTATTCGCGTTAGACACGTGTTTAATTGTCCGGATTATTATACGTATTTATTCACTATTTTTATAGCCATATTTATTTCTTAAAATTATATTTAGAAATTGTCGTTAAGCCACAAATGTACTGTCTCTATATGACATTTTTCAAATACTTTATTTTTTAAGAAAAATATCTTTCAAGTTTATACATGATGATATCTGATACAATCCATGCCTGCAAATTGTATGACTGAAAATGACGATTGTGGAAATAATTATTATAATACAGTATAGAAAGAATTATGTTGATTGCCAATCCGTTATACATATTGTTAATCTATTTCTTCAAATAATTTATTATCGTCGATAATAATCTTTTCATCAGTCGATTAATTTATTTGAACTTATAACTTGATCCGTTAATTTCGTATTTTTTACATCGATCTTACTTAATTCTATTTTGTGAAATTGTGGGCCAGAGAACCATTTTGCATAAAAGCGAGCCGGCGATCATGAAGGCGAACCAAGACACAAATATAAAAATAACAACATGTATTCGATTTTATATCATTTTATGACTTTATCGTCACAGACAAAATTAACAGAGTAGAAGTGTATTTTAGATATACATTTCGTTAAATTATTCATTAAATGATATTTTTTTTAATATATAAAGAAAAATAGCTTTTTAATACACAAAAAAAACATTTTATTTCGAAAATAAAATGATTTAGATTACGTTTGTCATCACGGACGCAAATGTTCCGACGCATTTTGTTTCTCGAGATTGCCGCAAAATTTTATCGTCCGAATATCTACTTATTGACCCTTCTCGTACGAACATGGCAAAGCTGTCATGCTTTATTAGGAACATATTGTCGTTCGTCCATATTGCTTATCGCTCATTCATATTGTTTTATCTCTCATCCATATTGCTTATCGCTCATCCATATTACTTATCGCTAATATTTATATACTTTCTAATTAACGAAAATTTTCATAAACGCTGTTGGCACACACGAGTCCTCCGCCGTTCTACGTTTTATCAATAAGTGTTTCGTGGCAGTACTTTCGATTCAGTACTTTCATCACCTGCTGGTATTCGGTGGACCTTTATCCCTCTGAAAAATATTGCACATCCTTCGATGATCATGCTAGAAGACTTGAAAGGATCCTCCCGAATCGATTGGTCCTTTTTAGGCGCACACGAGGCCGAGTGGAATTCAGTTTTTAATATCCGTTCGCCGCTCAGAAGAAATAGAAGATCCAGTACCCGGCGTTAAACAGCATGAAGCTGACTGGGAAGATGATCCGTGAGTACTTGTCTATCACGTTTACGTCCTTGATCTTCGGCATCGATACACGTAATACGGTAGCTCCTCTACGTAGAGCGTGTAACACCTACAAGATCCGATTGCAGTTTTCGAGTTAAGTAGATTTAAATTAAATTTAAACTTTAGGGAAAGAGAAGTGTGATTAAAAAAGTTAAAGGAGTAACTCCGGTAAATTCTTTTCATTTTTGCAGTCCTCCAAAAGTGTCTTTCACAAAAATGTAAAACGCAAAAACGTGGTGAGAATGTTTGAGACATTTCTCAAGTATTTTCAGTACAGTTGCTTTTTGTCGAGAAAGGCCTTCGCATACCTTTGGCTTGTGCGGTCTCGGGCCTCTGTACCTGAGACCGCTGCTTCGTCCGTGTGTGTTGTAAGCGGCGGTCCTGGAAATACGAAAGCTCGGCGGAAACTTGGCCGGGTCGTGATCCCTTCCGGCTCCCAGTGTCGATGAAGCGCTAACTAAACCTGACCTATTTCTAATGCTCGGCAGAGGTGACATTCTGAGGTCTTGAAGCTCTATGATATCCGCGTCCGTGCAGCCGGGGTAAGGCGAGCTGGCTTTGCTTCCTGAAAAGAAATGAATTAATCGAACAAGAAAATATGGTAAATCTTGGGGAGATTATTAAGCCGATATTCGGCTGCCCGGTTACCTGTTTTAGAAGATAGTATTTTTTTCTCATCGGTCTCTTTCTTCTTCGTCTTCTTCTTCGCTCTAGCGCCCCAATACGTGTAATTGACCGCCGCGTATTCCAACAGAGCCGCGAACACGAAAACAAAGCACATCACCAGGTAGATGTCGATGGCTTTCACGTAACTGATCCGTGGCAGTGAGCTTCTAACACCCGTCGATATTGTTGTCATTGTCAGTACGGTTGTGATGCCTGAAAGGAGAGAAGAGAGTAATAAATTATGCATCCTATGTTATACATTTGCCTATAAATTCAACGAGAAAAGAATTTTTCTTAGCGACAATTTGTTAGAAAAAAAAATCGAAATTTATTGCTAAAAGGGAAGAAAAGTAAAAACTTACTAGTTCTAATTTAATGGAAATCTGATTTTAATTAATTTAAAAGAATTATACAGTTTTTTAAAGACATACCGAGAGCTACTCTCGCGCTGGTGGCTTCGTGATTGATCCAGAAACTGACCCAGCTGAGCATCACAATTAGTATACTTGGCAGGTACGTCTGAAAAACGAAATATCCGATGTTCCTCTGGAGCTTGAAACTTAGCGAGAGCCTTTGGTAAATGCCCGTCGCCAGCCTCTCCTTTCGATCGTTGGTCTCGTAGCCGATTATCGTAAATTGCGGCAATTCCGCCTCCTCGACCCCACGAACGGGAGTTTCCTTCCAGTACATTACTACGTCGGACACCGTGTATCCATCTGAGCATTTAAAACAATTAAAACAATTTATAATTCAGAATAATCTACAGTTTGTTAGAACACTTTTTGCTTTCTTCATTTCTTAATCCTTAGTCAAATAATTGATTTTTACATATATCTTAGACGATTATTACAGCTAATAAGTGTAATTTTTGCAAACAAAATATTTAATTTAAAAAGACAGGAAACATTTTTAAAAACTGACTGAGAATATTACTTTTTAATAATATATAAAAAAGGTGTCGTGGGGTTTTTTATCTTTTTATGTAAAGCGATAATTACGAGAAGAGAATGATAGATGCGTTCGAAATGATCGATTGTAGACGCATATCCCAATACGTACAGCTTTCGATTTCGACCGTGCAATTCTGCGAGTCGAGGGGGTAGTAATGCAGGTCCATCATGCAGGCCAGGGTCGTTGTGAATCTCATGCCGTATGTGATCGAGCCGTCACCAGATAATCTAACGAGTTTATTGCGCTCGGTGACATCGTGCAGAAAGCTGCAATAAATTCGGTAAAACGATACGTTACCGAACAGAGCTGAGGAGATAAAGGAATAAAAAACGTCGTTAAATGAAATCTTCGAGAATAAAATAATTATACGAATGTGTTCAGCACAAAGGGCCTTACGAAGCGTCACAATAACATTTACTCGTCGTCGCGATTACCTATTTTTATCGTTGGCAAAAAACGTGTCTGGGACCCAAATCTTTTCCGCAAAGTCGCCGCTTAACGTCAGTATCTCGTCCTCGTGCGAGAAGGCGAGTCTCTCGTCCTTCCAATATTGATTTAAGTACATCGTTATCGTGTAATCCTGAGATGCAAATAATGATTAACGTCACTAAGAGAACTTGGTTGTTGTAATTAATTAAAAAAATTATATAAAACATACGTATATATAATCCGTTCCGTTGTTTTCAAGAAGAAAGGAGAAGATAAAAAGAATATCGCTCAAAAATACATTTCAACAGAATGACGCGATTATGAGTAAAGAAAAAAAAAGAAACTTTGTTGGATGGATATGTTGAACGCAGCTTATCCGAGAGCCTTGGGGATACGAATCGATTTACGAATCGCGACGAGGATGTTATGAATGTCGGTGAGAGAACGAATTTTGTATTCTGACTTATGTGTAATATTCCAATACAAACGTTTCCAATGCAACGTAAGCATCGATTTACATATGTGTCACGAGATTAGATGGTAGAGTAAATGGTAATATAAATCAAAGAAGCAATATAAAGTATTAAAAGTATTTCTTTTTAATTTGATGAAATTTATTTCGTGTGTGTAGGATTAAATAATTAAATTTATATAAAATATTAAAATTAATATGAAAATATATTAAACATTAAAATTAAATTTATATTAACTATTAGATAAATTTATATTAAGCTAATAGACAAGTGGATTAAAAATTATTGCCGCACCACAAATATTCTTTATTTGTATAAATATTTTTTTAATTTTATTTATACTCACCATATTGACTTCTGAGATCGCGTCAAAACTCGCGATGGTAAGATCCATCCCGACTGGTAATGGATTGCCTTTAAATAATAATCTGTTATTAATTTTTTAGATGCATTACATAACTCAAAAAGATAATTTTAAGCTGTTTGCGATATGTATGCGAAAGACCTAGGGAAATAAATATAGTCTTCGTCTAATCCATTGATAATATCGGCAAATTACTTCCCCTCGTTGCACGTTCGATTAAAAGTGCTGATTGCGATCACGCTTCGTTGAATAACGTGGAAAACCTTATTAAAGCTTTCCATATATCGCCCTGCCTTCGAACTCTATTCTAAAATTTAACTCTATAAAATACGGCTCGAAACCCAAATATAAGCGAGAGCTCCATTTGTAAAGTTTATTTCAATATGTGGATTAAAAATATTTTTCTCAGTGTTATATTTTCAAGTTGCATATTTTCTCATTAAGATTTTTATACATAGAAATATATTATTAGTAACACATATGTATATAGTTTATTAATATATATTATATTATATATATAATTATATATATTATTAAATATATTATAATTATGTTAATAATTATTATTAATTCTATATATAACTTATTTGATTCAATGTGAACGCGCGAAATAATTTTTATCAAAATTAAATAATGCACATATCGCTGTGAGCTTGTAAAAAATTTTTTAGGATAATTTTTAGCAAAACGTGCGAAGATCGACCCAAAGCTTACCGCCAAAGTTCGGCCTTAATCGGATATCGTAGCCTTCGAGTATCCTCGAAATTGTCTGCGTAACGTTCTCCAGTCTATCGGACATCCCGGTGCTCTCCAGGGAAGCCCTGTGAAGTGCGAAATTCCCAAAACTGTCGATAGAGCTTAAAGCTGTTAAAATATCTTTACTAGCAAGTACGTTGTTAAATCTATCGAATGAATATTGAAACGACTATGGGATAGCTTTGAGAATTTAATATTACATATCATACAATATTATTAATAATATTAACGCATTATATAATAATTATATATGAATATTTGCAAGATTTACTGTTCCATTAGTCCCAATTTTTTTTAACAAAAAAACTATAGAACAGCTTTGGTAGGCTCTTATAAATAGAATTTAATATTACACACCTTTTAATATTAATTCAATATTAACGTATTATAAATTATAATAATTATATATATGAATATTGGCAAGATTTACTGTTCCATTATTAGATCAATTTTTTGAACAAAAATTTTGCCTTTTGAAGTACGCCCCGAACATTCATATCTTTGACGTTCATTTTTTATCAAACATGGCCTATAACGAATAAAATCCAAAACGTATGTTTCTTTCTGATACACAAAAATGAATCATTTATCCAAGGTTTGTCCAATATTTTTACATGTAATAGCAAGTTATATTTTTACATAAAAAACAAATAAATGTTGCATGTGTAGATGTATGTGTGACGTGATGTACAACGGCGCAACAAAGATATGCACACAATCGAGGTATAAAATATCGAGATTAATACGTATAAATACCGAAGAAAACCGTGGATAGAACAGAAATAATGGAACGTCTCGGGAAATTACTTCCATTAACCAATTCGGGCACCGTCGATCTGGTCTGGTCCCTAGCGATCATTGTGCTCGCTATCATAATATTCTTCATTTTGAGAAAAAATTAACGAGCTGCGGGAAGATTGCTTCGATTTTGTATGCGGCGTTGTTCGAAAAAAATTATCAGGTTTATCTTCTGCCCGGGAAATGGAGCTTTATTGTCTCTCCTTGTGTACAGTGGACTGATTGGAGCTTTAATTGCACGAACGATCGCTCATGTTGCACGTCGACCTTAATTCAGGTATTTAATTATTTTCTTTTGTACACAGCTGTATTTGTTCTGTCGAGATTTATCTTCTATATATAATTGCATATATATTAATTTTTTTTACTATATTTATATGTAGCATTAATTGAGAATTGCGACATTATTATTAACATATTAAACCAAATTGCATTTTAAGTTTTACAATCGCGCTATAGATTATTGTATTGAAGAGTCGTAGGAACAGTTTGAAGTTCATTGAACGAACAAATCGAAAGTCGACTTTTCTTTAGTGAATTATCTATAAAAACTTCAGCAGAGCTGTGCCAAGCTGATTAAATCAGAACTATTCAATAATTGGGCATAGAGCTTCTAGTTGCAATTTTATTAAAATACTTACAAACTTTAATTATATAAACATTTGAGAGAGAAAAAATTACATTTTTTTATATAATAATATATATTTTTAAAATTAGTTTTATTATATATGTCCATCAATATAAAAACTTCATGTTTAGCATCTCATTCATTTGTAATGTATATCATTATTTATAGCAGCGTTTATAAAGAAGCTTCCCTCATTATCTCTACCGGAATATGTGTCTGGGGATACATAATCAAAATCGCACCCCTTGCGAGTGCGTGTCACGTGTGCGTTACAATTAGAACGTAGGAAAGTACCAAACCTTATTATCCCCCTTGTGATTTTTCAGGATAGGGCGAGGATTTGAATGACGATGCTCACCAGATGACACGATGACACAGCTGCACGAGGAGGAGGACGATCAGCGGCAGCCCGCGCGGCAGCATCCTGCCAATCGTCTTCGTTATCCGGCCGGGATTGCGTCAGTGAACGACGAGCGCGATGGAGAACGTCATCTCGCGGTATCCTCGCATCCCCTCGGCATCCCCGTAACCGGCTCGCTGCCGCCACCGCCGTCGTTCTACAATCACAGACGTAGGGAAGAGCCCGTCGACCCTTTTCGCACGCCTGCTCGTCGCTACCCTTGACCCTAAATACAGCTTCCACGTGTACCTCCATACGCAATGTATTCCACGCAAACACGCATTCACGGAATTATCCCGCATGAAGGACAAGTCTCACGGTAACATCCACCGCATCCGCAATAAGTCATCTACTCTAAGGGGGATGGGGGGGGAGGTTAATCCAGCGGAAACAGCCGGAGAAAGTTCCATGGAAGACTTATCCTTATACCATATAATCCTACGCATTCCGTTCCCGGGATGTACAGGAAATAAGCTTAATTAAATTTCGTTAAAGAAGAATTTCGTCCCAATTAAAAAAAAATTTATGAGTTCAACTTGATTTCTATTTTGCCAACGTTTATATACAAGATAAAAACGGGCGGTTGCTTCTAAACGTTGCGCTGACTTGCATTTTGTCATTGTTATAACGAGTTACATGACATATTATCATTCTCAAAGAAAAAGTAATAAAAACTATTGCTTTTTACGCTAAATAATTTGTTGTTATCGCTAATTTTGTCGCCTAATGCCGTCAATCGAGAGAGCGAAAAAGTTATGAGGCTCTTCCATTTGTGTTCCGAGGCAATCAATGCTGTTTTTCTTTCTGAAAATTCCGAGCGTGAAAAATCAAATGATTTAAAAACTAGATGTAACTCCATTATCATGTACGATTGACCCAGATTGGAGAGTGAAGCATAACGAAATGTGGACAGGCGCGTTATACATACAATACAGTAAAATAGGAACAAAATAAAATCATGCATAACACGCCCTATATACCGCCTGTGTTCCAACCTCGCGCTTTACTCACTTCCTATTTAAAGATTGCGCACGTACGAAGCCGCACAGACGTGACACTCGCGTAAAACAATAAAAAGAGCGCGTAAAATATATTTCGGTTAGAAATCAGAAAAAATCAGAAAAATTACTTTTAACGAGGCAATTCCGTGGGGCAATCAAGACGAGGAACATCTTGTTAGTCACGAAACTCTATACTTCGTAAATAATGACGGTATACGACTTTTTTCCTTCTTTAGGTTGGCTTTATTAATGCTCGAGTTTTAGGTTGACGACAGGAAATATTTCATGCACGCGACACCCTAGGCAAGTAAAAAAATTGAAAAAATTACCGATATATTGCACAAAATATTATTTTCCTCGCTGTTACTTTATTAGTTAATATAATTTATTTTATAAAATTATAATTATTATATATAAAAATCAAACAAAATACTGTTACAAATAATAGAATCGTAAATAGTATTAAATCGCGAATCAGTAGAAACAAAAGCACATGATATATGCTAGGATTTAATTTATCTATTTTCTAGTAAACAAACTGTCCGTAATATGCCAGCAGATTGGCAGGAAATTCGATTAGAAATTGCTGGCAAATTGGCATCAACCACGTTAAGCTCGTACTTTGCTGATAAAACCTGCTGATATAACATGACAGCAGATTGGCGGCAGAAACCGAGCAGGATCTGTCGAATGCAGATTCTGCTCTATTTCTGCCATCAATTTTAACCGTATAGCAAATATATTAAAGTTCGCTTGAGTTTTGCTATTAATACGCTATCGTATTTTGTTAACAAACTTTGTTATATTTCTGCTAGCATTCTAGCAACACAGCATCATATGTATCAGATCTTCTGACATTTGTAGCAGACACTTTGCAGATTCTCGATACAGACTGTCTGAGTTTTCACTTATTAATATATATCAATTTCTAAATTTAATTAAAAATTTATTTGAAAGTCTACATAAGTCTTACATAAGTATTTTCCAAGAAACATTGATTTATTGCAATATTTATCAAATGAAATCAGAACTGCAAATCATTCTTTTATGCAAACCAAATAAAAATTCACTCAAGTTCATACTTGAATAAATACATATCTATAAATGTATTAATTCACTATGGTTTGCCGATAAGTGTACTTACTTCTTTTGTGCTACTTAGATTTACATTAAATGCATAGGCAATTACCTGCTGCATCCGACGGGAATCACGACGCGCGCGACGATCTCATCGTCGATCCGACGGAGATATCAGGATTGTCAGACGGATTATCGCGTCGTTGACCGGCGTTATCAATCGCATTCACCTCGGTCCATCGTCGTAGCTTGAAATCGATCGGCAGTGCAAGATCACGAGATCTCCCAAGACTCGGCCGATCGTTATTGTCGTTCGCGGGATTCACTATATTCGCAGAATTCACCGGGTCATCACCTCTCGTTGAACGCGATCGAATTCGCTGATCACTCAAACTCGCGAAATCCGAACGCGCTGTCACGAGACCGTCATCGATCGTCGCGCAGCATCACTCCCCGTCGATGTCCACGTCCTCGTTCTCGTCCTCGTCCACGTCGTCGTTGTCCCCGTCGTCGGATGGAAACGTAGGCGCGAGGTATTCCTGATGTGCGCCACGAGCCTCGCGGAGGCTGCTGCCTTTCATCCCTCGGTAGCTAACGCGGATCCACTGTCGATTACTCTCTTCAGACCCTCTCTCTTTCTCCATCTCTCTCTCTCTCTGTCTCTCTCATTCTCGCTCCCCTCTTTCACTTCCTCATCACGAACGCGTTCTCCCTCTCTCTCGTTCACTTCGGAGATCATCCCCCTCACTCCCACCTGCCAACGCGCGGTTTCCCCTCTGTCTCTCCGTCGCAATTCAATTCCCCTTTCTCTCGCTCTCACGAATCCTCCCTCTTCCACGCTCTCATTTTCGCGGAACCTCCTTCCCTCTCGCTTACATCCTCTTTTTCACGTGCGATTGCCTCCGTTTCACCCCCGTTTATCCCTCTGCCCGTATCTCTCTTTCTCTCTTCTCTCCCCCCTCTTTCTCTCTTTTCCCTCTTCTCTCGCTCTCTCGAATCGCCTTGATACTACTCTCTTCCGCTTCTCGGAGTCTCTCCTCGTCTTTCGTCACCGTCCCACAAGCCACCCCCGCGACTTGCTGTACGACTTGCGCATGCACGGTATACCTACTCTATCTCCGTGTGTTCGACCTAGTGACACACAGCCGGTGATCGGATTTCCAGAACGAGCCGATCGAACACCTCCATCGTCACTATCGCCAACGCCATCATCATCGCCATCACGATGTCACCATCATCATCGTATCTATACCATCTCAGCTTCTTAACGCGAGAAAAGGCGTCATTAACTTTCTCGAGTAGTAACGCGATGAAAATGCCGGAGGTAATCGATGCTTATCTCGCGATGTAAGATATAAGAACCGATCGGCTCTTCCTGATCGCTCCATGACGGAACCTCGCGATGCGTAAAAGTATGACGAAACTCGGCGGAGAAGTACGCAAAACTATACGTTTTCTTTTTCAACCAAGCCATTTATTGCATATATCGTTACCGTTTCGATAATATAGAAATGGTCCAATATTAAGAATAAAATTTGGAAAGATGCACAAATTTAGGAGTCTCCAAGGATTTTCTCAACAGCTTAATGAGAACAAGGTTTTCAAATGCGACCGCCTTAAAAATAAAAGTAAAAGACACGAGCGCGGAGATAAGATCAAACTAATGGACCCTCGGCTAAGCATTAATGAAGATTCACCTCTGCGTCATATCACACATGTTATCGCGACGAAGATAAGTAAACTGTCGTGATTTAGAACACTTCGCAGGAATGTACAAGGGTAATTTTGCGAAAATTGTTAAAAACAAATTCTTTATCGAAACCATGGACGAAAATTCTTGTCGGAAAAGCTTATTTATTATTTATATCGCAGCGTTTCAATTTTTGGTGATAAACAATCTTAACTTAATTTAATTTGCTTGAAATTGAATAAAGAACAAAATCCAGTATTAATTATATTCGCATTTCTATAGATATTAACTTAAAAATCATTGAGAGTACCACTTGAATATTCTTATCCTAAAGAATCAGCTTTTATAATTTTATGCGCTAGTTGCAAAAGCCAGTAAATGGCGTCGTAGTACCTTAATAGCGGTTAGATTTACAATCGATAAACGGCCTCCGCCGGCAGGATGGGTTCACTTACCTGCCAGGGACGATAAGAATATTCCTGTCGGCAACGACGTCGCTGGTCGGAAATCATTTCAACACCCAATGTCCCCGGTGAAGATGCGTTTCGATCAATTTCGAAATGTCCGCGAGGAAACGCAAGCGAGAAATCACAGCACCGTCTCTTCGGTCGTTCCCAAGTCGAGGGGCTACTTCTTCCAAACTTTATATAATCAGATATATTTTTTCAACAAATATATATGAGCTGAAAAAGATGAAATTAAATTTAATTAAATTTAAGAATTTATTAAGTTGCAGTAGATATTAGTTTATATTATTTATATTGTTAAGGGTGAATTATAATTGGAGACTAAATATCAAATTTCCTTAACGTAATGATCTGTTAAGATCTGTTATTTAGAATCCGAGTCCTATTTAGATCCTGTTATTCTAAACTCTTATCCACATGAATCTGTGCATTTGAAATTTGAATGTAAACCGACTCGCCTAGACGAAACCTAGTTGAAACGCGATCAGAAGCACACAGAAACCTACTAATTAACACAAGTTTAAAGATAGCCGCTAGAAGTGATTCAGTGAGAGAGGTGATACGAATCTCGTTAATTGCAGATAGAATCTAAACCGTCCCGAAATCGTCAAATGTCATTTAGGTCTTTCCTAATATCTCTCAAACGTTTTAACAACATTATATAATAATCAGAAAAAACATACGTGCAAAATATGAATTGGCGCTTACTTCGATATACTTTTCTAAAACTTAAAATACCAGAATTTGAAAGGCGTTCAACGTTCACGCAGGTAAAACACTGAGATTCTACCTGGCTGTCTAAAATCCAATGTGCAAATTCCTTCATCTATCAATCGCTTTCAATTCAAAAGTTTTCGGTTCTTGGTATTAAGCTCCTCATCTTTCTTTCCCAGCATTACGATTAAGCTGATGAAACTACACGATAAGCCGTACAAACTTCTCCGCTTGTCGTAAGTTTCGAAGTTATCTTTCCATTCACGCATATATCATATACAGGTACCCTATAGGTACGGGAAGGATTAAAATCAGTTAAAATGCGAGTTATTATTATTCAGACCGCAAGTTCGTCGCTGTAACCACGCGGACACGCGTGGTGTTGAAGGATTAAGCGCAAATATATGGACGGCGTGATTTCGGGACTTGCGCGTCGCGACTCTTGTAAGCTCGCGTCTTAGGGGGGTTCGCGGCACGAAGATCCACGCGGCCGCCGCAATGGTCCGTCGCATCTCGTGGCGAGTGTTAAACTCCATCGGGCATCGATTCAGCGAGCGTATTAAATACCTTTGATTTCGGTGGAGCGGATCGCGAACCATCACCGAGAGGATGACACCGAGCAAGCTGCCGCTGTGAGTAAAATAAATTAGTCGCTATAGCGAGAAAATCATCGCAAAGTAGCAAGACATTTCGGTCACCGCACATTCTTTATTTTAATAGTAATACATTATTTTGTATTTATTTTAACAGTGCACACACAGTCACACATTGTCAGGTAAAACGCTCCGTTTTTCCTAACTTTCTTTCCTTTTTACAGCGTTTAATGCTATTAGACTAAATAAGTATTTAGAATTGTCGTTAAACATGTTAAATTTAATTAAAATCACGAACAAGTGCGAGAAATTTAAAAGAAATAATTTTGATTATTTTGTGTTATATGCGAAACAATCGCTAACAAATTATGACATTTTCTTTAACACGTCTGTCTTTATAATAACTTACTTCGCCGTTTGCTCTACAACTTTACAACTCCTTTGCAACGCCCAACTGTGCATCAACTGTGCAATTTGCAATTACGCGAAGAAACATTAGACAATAGAATGCAGATAAATAAAGCGTTTCGCTCAGAGATAATTATAATTGCATTAAGTATTGTTTACTGTTAAAAATAATTATAATGCTCCTTGCACTAAATTGCATGTAATTCTATATGAATTTTGATTAAAATCTTAGAAATTCGAACAATTTATAAAAAAAATTGTGCATTCTCAGATATTCTATCCTGTATAGAAAATTGTAACGACGTCAATTGTTATTCAGGCCGACGTTATTTAATGCAACTCTTGTTTTATACATTGTACGTATGCATTCGCGAGCGCTTTGCATATTACATCTTGAAATAATGAATAATTTCAATCGGCGTATATCAAAGCCGCTTCTGACGCATAAAGCTCAAAGATGCATCTTAAGCGATTATTGGTGTACGCGTAGATTGCGCAACTTGTAAAAGCTTCTAAATGTTTCAAGAACAGGTTCGAGGCTGCTTCCAACGCAAGATGTAATTACCCTTTGAATTTAATCGAGCGTATCTAGCGAGTCGTTATTCGTGCAAACACAAATGTCGAGAGAGCATCTAGAGAGATGCGTACTTGCGCGAGATCAGTTACAATCAGTTCAAAGCTACCGCGTCATCTCAGCCAAATAACAGTGATGAATCTTGAAGATAATCTTGCAACAAACAGCGAGATCTTTGTCCTTACTAAATAATGTAGGATCTCAACGTGATACGCTTTATCTCTCTTCGCATCGGCGGAATGTTCGAGCAGGTTCGAGCGGGCTGTATGTGTTTATAATCGGTAATGTTATTGTCCTCGCGTATGTTTGTCTAGTTGTCTAGTAGACGAGCAAGAGTTCGACCCAGTAACGGCGGGCAAACAGTCGTTGGAAAGCCCCGAAAGCGAGAAAATATCATATGTCATATATACACATACATGTTATCTAATATCTACAATAATAAATGTTCCGTGGATATTTGTAAAATTACTTTGCAAAAATGGAAATAAGTCTGTTTTAGTTATTTTTATATTTCTCAGTATTAGTGATAAAATATTACAATTCTGAAACATACAAATAAAAGTATTGCGCTCAGGTATAAAGTGGCATGACATAATTATTATAAAAGAGGAGTAAGAGATATAATATATTAGTTATAATTATATTACTCTCTTATAAAAGATAAAAACTCAATGATAAGTAACAAGTATCCATTGTTTTATTAAAAATTTCAAATGCAAAAAAGAATCGGCATATATTCATATCCTTTAATATCGGTTAATATTTGTTTCCTTCTTTTATACTACATTGCATTCTTACTTATACTTTGAATTCTACGAATGTACTGTGTGTTAAAAAAAAGAGATCTGACATAAGAAGAAAATTGATCAATTATCATTG